AAACAGTGAAATCTCGTTAATCCGGATGAGCGGATTCGTAGTAAAACCATCCGTATTAACAAGTTTCCGGATTAATAGGTGGAGAAATAGTTATTTGTATGGATTTTCTCCCAAAGTCCTCAGGGTCAGCGTGTCCGGATTATCAAGGTTCCGACTAGTCCATACATCTCTTTCAGAAATGATTAATCAGCGTGTGACTACGTACGGTTCTGACATTTTATAAAGAAGATGGGTTGCCTGTTGTGGCAAACATGGGTTACTGAAGACCTACCGTTTTCGACGTAATAAGCGCCTAGGGCGCTCTCAAAATTAGGATTAGGGGGCTCTTATTAGAATGTTATTTTGGTGAAAAAAACAGAGTTGAAAGATAAATTTCGTGGTTTATGCTGACAGCCTGAAACGTTTATGTACGACAGATATATTTTTCCAGAATTAAATTCCCCATAATTAAGGGGATTGTGTATGATACGCGAAAAAATAAGTCTTGTGTACATTGATCAATTGGAAGGGGTGCTAATTGGGATTGTTCACTAGCCAATATATTAGCAAATATCGCCATGGGCGCTTATTAGAGCGGGGCGCTTTTTACGTTGAATACGGTATTCTAACCCGGATCTTCACGGGTCTCCACAATAGGTAGCTGGGGACCAATTCCAGCTCGGAACCCTCACGGTATGTGATACAGGACAGAGAGTGAATGTAGCTAAGGTTTATATCATAAGCCAAGATCCAGCATACAATCATCCCGAATCTCCAAGTGCGTGTGTGAATTGCATGTGTTTCTGGAACCAACGTGAACGGCAATAATAATAATGATGACGATGATGAAAATGATAATAACGATAATGAGTACGTCAATATAGCGCCTGCCATTATGTACATAGCTCTGCATTAATACCAGGTCATTGAGACCCGTGAAGATCCGGGTTAGAATAGGACTTCAGCATCCCATGCTTGCCACAACAGGCGACTATGCTTGTCGTAAGAGGCGAATTATATCGGGTGGTCAGGCTCGTTGACTTGGTTGATGCATGTCATCTTATCCCGATTCCTTTGATGTCAATCACTGGATTGTCTGGTCCAGGCTCGATTATTAACAGTCGCGTCATATAGCTGGAACATTTCTGAGTGCGGCGTTACACAACAAACATACAAACAAAAACCCGGCCAATGGATCAATGTGCTCTCAAATTTCACTCTCAGCTCCCGGGGGAGTATACAGCCAAAGCTGTCTATGAAAAGCAAGGTTAACAGTCACATTACAGTCTCAGCCCATCGGGTACCCATTCACTGCTGCTTTCCCCCAACATCAAGTTGACACATGGGGGCACAGCTGAAAAAAAATAATTCAAAGCAGCGTTTAACCCAACTCACTCCAAGTCAATTTAATCCCCGTCAAAGCTAACAAGAATAGGTTGAACCTTACTATCAACCTTGACGTAAAAGGTAACTTTTCTGACACCGAAAAGGTCATTGCAAAGTTTGTTTTTGAAATACTTCAACGAGATGTTCAACCTTTAAATCCTGGCCATGATGAACAAAGCATTGTCATCAAAGTCCCATCGGAGACGCGACCTTTCCTTGGGAACACGACCCAATGTACACTTTCTTTGTGTGAGTGTTTCATTCACTGGACTGTTCATGTGCTGGCACAAAGGGTGTGGTATTGAGTTTGTCTGATCCCCTTGGGACTAGATCACAATACATAGAATATACCCAGGAATGGAGAGAACTTGGAACGTTAGAATCACGATGTCGGGGAGAACATTACCTCAAAGTAGAAAGAACAAATTTTGACATTATCTCTTTTGTATAATACCTTCACACGCAGTTTTCTGATCCGTGAAGATCCGGGGTAGAATATGTCTTCAGCAACCCATGCTTGCCGTAAAAGGCATCTATGCTTGTCGTTAGAGGCGACTAACGGGAAAGGGTGGTCAGGCTAGCTGACTTGGTTGATGCATGTCATCGTATCCCAATTGCATGGATCGATGTTCATGATGTCAATCACTGGATTGTCTGGTCAAGACTCTATTATTTACAGACCACAGTCATATAGCTGGAATATTGCTGAGTGCGGCGTTAAACAACAAACCAACCAACTCAGCAATATTCCAGCTATATAATATCGACCAGTAAGCAGTCGAGACTGGGTCAAGCAAACCAGAGATAGATATTGTGAGCAATGATTCGGTCATATCTGAAGGGGTTTATTCACCGCGAGTTAATCTACTATATGGATGGGTCGTATGCTGTGAAGGATGGACGAATATCTTCAAAACCTGACCATGAGACCGCCTCCGTGGTCTAGTGGTAGAGCGTCCGCCCGGAGAGCGGGAAGATCCGGGGTTCGATCCCCGACCGCGTCATACCGAAAGACGTTAATAGATGGTACTTGTTGTTACCCTGTTTGTCGCTCGACGTTCAAGGCCAAAACGAGGAGTGGTCGGTTGGGAGTCACACACACACACACACACACACACACAGAGAGTGCACGTCGCTACATAAGTGCAATAATCAAGGACGCGACGTTAAACCTCATTTCATCTCACCTCGCAACCTGACCATGCAATTTGGGCATGTTTTCCTCATCCTCAAATTACACTTAATTGTCGCAGCAGTTTTGTCAGCATAAAACGCACCATTGTCAACATGTCAACATCATAACAGTGTCTTCCTATCACCTGCCCCCTGTTTAGGCTTGGTGACTCTCCCTCGGGCGTTTAGAAAGCAACGCTATTTTATGACTCTCTGCCCTCAGCAATATGTGAACATCAATGATCTAGAGTAGTTGTGGGCGGTTAAACCCTGGCACAAGTGAAGATAATATAGTCAAAGAATGGCAAACACTTGCTCACATTAACTTGATATAAACGCAGATAACCTGGTTTCTAACAGGTTTCTTACATTTGTTGTGTGTAAGAAGACTTGTTTTAGGGAAGGTTGGTATTAGCATTACAACGGAAGGAAAACCATTTCCTTTTTGTGTATGCCCCTACCCTTCCCTCCACGAACTTGTATCATCACGTGACAGCTAATATCAACGTTTAAACTATACTACTCAACGAGATTTTTCATACTATTTACATATACACACAAGTAACAAGTGTATTATGGAACATCTCGGAACATCCCTAAAAAGATTGAGCAATAAAGTATGATGTACGAGCTATTCTTATATAAAACCTCGACCTTCAATCTCAGAATGCATGCAAAAGTGTCACACAAGAAACTTATACTGAATAGAGTCTAAATGGTGGTATCTTCTGAAGTGTGAATGACCTTGACACTTAGCAGGACTTGAAGAAAGTGTTTATTAAGTATTATCCCCGAGATATAAATGTTTTGTTTCTCAAGACTTAATATCATGTATTCCTGAGTATTAAGTTGTAGCAGGATCACAAGGGGTACATGGGTTTTTTACGCGTCCTGCGTTTTGTTTGATACCACGAGCCATGAACTTAATTTTTTTTCTGAACCTGTTTCTTTAACCAATAAATATACCTTAATTCATTGACACAAATGGATTTTGTTTACATTCAAAATAAATCAATGTTTATTTTACTTACAAGAAAAGCCTTTTCCCCCAACGACACTCTCACACTATATATTTATGCACTTCAACTTGGGAAAACACATTTCTTATGCAAAACATTTTCCATCAAACCTCTGAATAGTCCAGATCTTTTGCAGGACTTTAACCCTGTCGTGATTCCAGGTTAAGAGTTGGTCCCGAAACCTGTCCAACAGAATGGATCGTTGCTCACAAAATCAATCACTGGTTTGTCTGGTCCAAACTAGTTTATTCACAGGCTGCTGTAATATAGCTGGTGTTATCATGTAATTGTAGTTACAATATTTATTCAAACTTGGTGAACTTGACCTTCAATCTTTATGGTGTAGTTGGTTGGTGATTGTTTAAGGCTGCACTCAGCAATATTCCAGTCCTATAAACATGATAAAGGTGAGGAACTTTGTATGAAGTGCGTAACATGTTGTGAGGACATGTATGCTCCAAATTTAATCTGAAACACTATTCTTAGGAATAATTATTTTTCTCAATAAAATTTATTTTCTTAAATTTAAAGGTATTTTACCATCATATTCTAAACATAGCATTCAATGCAATAATCTAAATCTAAGCATAAAAGCCTCTTCATCTTCATGTCATTTACAGGCCAGGGAAGTACAAGCCCAAATACTAACATGAATTCAGAATGTCTTTAATTTCAATTTGTGAAATATAACTGACATTTGCTGCAAGCTTGGCTCGGAATATCAGTCCCCGGGCAGGCCCAGATGAACCACTGCTTCTACATGTTGAGCTTGTGCATATCAAAATTGAAATGACAAAGTTGGAAAATGCATCAGTGTGATTTCATATCCAGGCAAGACTGTCATGCAAATTCAGATACTGAGTGTATTGCCAAGTTGTTTAAGGTAGATATAAATATATATGTGTAAACAATCTCCATCACACTACAAAATGTTTTGTTTGTATGTTTGTTGTGTAACGCTGCACTTGCTTGGCCCAGTCTCGACTACTTACTGGTCAATATCATATAACTGGAATATTGCTGAGTTGGTTGGTTGGTTTGCTGTTAAACCGTGCACTCAGCAATGTTCCAGCTATATGACTGCGGTCTGTAAATAATCGAGTCTGGCCCAGACAATCCAGTGATTGACATCATGAGCATTAATCCACGAAATTGGGATACAATCATATGCATCAACCAAGTCAACAAACCTGACCACCCGACCTATTAGTCACCCTTTACAGCAAGTAGGTTGCTGAAGACCCATTCTACCCCGGATCTTTAAGGGCCACTACAAAATGTCCCTGTTCACAAATGTGAAACTGATAAATCAGTCTAATGTAAGTGCACAGGGCTCTCAAAGTGATCATTGTGCTATGACTTTCAAAAGCATGTTAGATGGTATCTTACCCTAACATCAGTATACATTTAAATATGATTATGAAAAAGGAAACAAAAGTGACGTACCATATCTTGTCAATTTATTGATATACATGTAAACAAATCTGTATCAATGACCTATATACAAATAGAATATTTCCCCATGATTGCACCTAAATATCACAAAACTAACTGTTAACCATTAGCCCCACTTTCAGCTGTAAAGATACCAATTCTGGTTGAAATAAAGCATCATTCATGACAAAGGTGGTGACAATCACGAAACCAGTGTGAATGCATCAACACAGGTATCTACCTAAATGTTACACAGCAGACATTCAGTGGTGAATCCATTCTTGAGAAACTTTGACAGAGGCATAACAGAACATCATATTTTCAGTATTTCTTAAAATTAACAAATCCTTCACAAACACGAAAAGCAGTATGAAAAACCACATATGTGTAATCATGTACCACGTACATAGGACAGAGCCATCCTGTTGCTCTATCAGAATATCATAACTACCAAAATATATAACATGAGATGTTAGTATTTCTAAAAGCCATCTGCTGAAGGAAATGCACAATGGACATGCATCAGCACTCAAACGGTGGTAAAACCTTTCAGCAAAAAATACTACATGTAGCTTCACCCTGGGAAATGACAAGGTACGACGCCAACATCATGGTTCACTGCTTGTGATGAAAACTACAAACCTTGGCACACAATACCTGTGCTGGAGTCCCCTTGTGCAGGCTAAGCAGGTCATACGATCAAGACTACTAAGTCTACTTTTTGTTAGTGCTGAGACTATCTGGGTCACTCTCACTGAGAAAAGTATGGAAAGATACACATCTGTAGAACTCCATGTCATATACTGATTCTGACACCTGTATTTATCTTAAAATTTGGAATATAAGATATGACCAAATTTATTGCGGATTTTATTCCAGCTACTTTCAGAGGAAGATTGAGGCTGTATTTTCCAATAATGCATCACATAATCTGTATGAATACTGTATTACACAAAGTTACTAACATACTTAAGCCTGTAGCACAACTCGAGCTAAACCTGACACTAATTTTTTTCCTGGGAAGTAACATCATCATCAATCATACTGATAACATCCAACAATTTGATCAGGTTGTCCAAAGATTTGAAGGATTGAGTCATATCATATTCCATTCATTCTAAGCAGCTGTCAAAGACAACAATCATTAAATAAGCGAAAATAACATTGTCATCCACACTTGTGACATTTGCACATTCCAAGAGAATTGATGACAGTATTTCTATAATAGTGTTGAACCACACATGATCACATCCATTTATTATGGATACCATTTTGAAACCCAATTTTCCCACTGTTAATACTTTAAACCACAACATGACATGCATTTGTAAAAATATCAGCACAGATTCAAATGTTCGTCATCAAACGATGCAACTACTTATCAGAATACCCGGTGTCAAACACATCACACCATGAGGTTTTGCAGCTCTATGAAACAGTGATTCAGACAGCCTGGGTTTAATGCCTATGCACAGAAATGCTCTCTTTTACAGGCACATGAACCAATATTTTTTATGTTTGATACATCATTTTCCAAGTTAATTGGCCATTAAAGCGATAAGTACTTAATTTGATGGTCATAAATATTCAATCTGATAGTCATATACAAGTACCAGTACTTAATATTTTAAGTTTTTGACAACAAAATTAACCAGAACTTAAGTACTCTGCAGCTTCCTGAATACAGTAGTGAATGTACAGAAAGAGCTTCAAAACAACATGGTTAGATGTGCTGTGCAATATGTCCCTGTTCTGTACCATATTGAAACATCTTTCATGTACGCATACCATTACATTTCTTTTGATCAAGGACATGAAAACCCTCTCTAATAGACACACATATTTTTTATATATTATTCCATAACACAATTTAAACCCCATGGTTTGAAACAACCCCAACAAGAAATCACTTCTTCACAACACAGAAGCAGTTAATTTTACTTGCTGGTTGTGAAAAACAACTAAAAACATTTCACATGACCATGCGCATTTTCCCATGTTTTGTATCGAACTCCATCAAAAAAAAATAACATACATACATTTGGGGTAGAGCATATGAATGTTAACAGTGAACATCTTGGTGTCAACTTTACATAAAGTCTCAAAAACGTGAGATAAACTTATTATATCACTTGATGCATGACAACGTAACCATGGCTACTGCCTCTCAAGTTGTCAAGTGAAGTCTTGTATGAATCAAACATAACAAAATAATGTACACAATAAAATAGGCAAAACCAAAACAGATTGATATAAGGAAATGAGCTGGTCAAGAAAAATATCTGTACACTTTCTATACACTTACAACTGATAGAGTCTATCACACCAACACTGTGGTACACCTTCCAAGTCTGGCATCTATGGGATAAAATCATATACTAACTATATTATCACAACTAGAACCAGAACAACAGGAATTCAAAATCCCTTGCAATGTTGTGTCACTGAATGGTAATTAAATGCCATTATTTGTAGGAAATGATGCATAAAAACAGGCATTGGAAGTTCCTACAACATACATAAAAAGATGTTATTTGTAATGCGATATCTCCCTTCAAAATATTACATTTGTCTTAACATATGTATCCTGTACATAATTTCTTTTAATAATCACCATCTCATTTTTTTCAAGTGAAAATGGATAACTTTCTTGAATATTAATACTATTCAACATGTTCATAGAGATAGTTCGGATCATGCTGATACTACCAAATATAAATGGAATGTCTAGTTCTCAGAAAATAGTCAAATTGAGGACCAATCACCCACACTACTTCTGTTACTATTTCTTTATATTATTATTGGATATACATATAGTTCATGTGCTTTGCCTTGCCTTACAACTGATGATGAGTCATTGCCAGCTAAGAGAAAGTATTCAGTGTGGTCATGGTAGTTGTGTGGATGACTGTGACAGGGTGTGTTAACAAGGTGTATGTCACGGTTATTGACTGCATATACCAGTGATGGGGGTTGGTGTGTGGCATATGATGGTGACATGTGCATGGATGTGTATACCTGTAGGTATATGATGGTGATGTGTGCGTGTGGATGTGTATAGGTGTAGGCATATGATGATTGTGTGTGTGTGTTGATGTGTGTGCATATAAGTATATGATGGCGACGTGTGTAGATGTAGGCATATTAAGGTGATGGGTGCATGGATGTGTATAGGTGTAGGTATATTAAGGTAACATGTGCATTGTTGTGTATAGGTGTAAGCATATGATGATGTGTATGTGGGTATCTGATGGCGACATGAGTGGGTACTTGATAGTGACGTGTGTGATGGTGTGTGTGCATATAGGTGTATGATTGTGACGTGTGTGTGTGTGTGTTCGGCACAAGAGTGTGCAGGTATATATGATGGCGACTGAGTATACTGTTAATAGACAGAGAATTTCTTCAAAACACATTGACACATGTCACACTACACTTCAGTGTACATATGATAAAGGATATTGTGTGCATACGTTTTTGCTCAACCACTTCTTAAATGGAACTCGGATCGAGACAGATTAACAAATATATTATACACGGTCTGGGAGCAATCCTAGCCATGAAGGTATCTAAGCCTACCAGTGTTTGCAATGAAGCATGAAAGTCAAAGGGTCCTTGTCATACATGATTAAACTTATGGGGCCCCTAGATTCAAATACCACAAAAGACCTCAAGCACCCCAGGACTCTTTAAATTCAACACTGCTACAAGACTTTGAACATTTGGGGGGGGGGGGGGGGCTGTGTTTATGCCATCCAGCCTGGTAGTCTACCCCTGCATGTCATCACAAATATGTCCAAAAATCCAAACAGTCTGGTAGCTACGCCTGTAAAAATACTGGTGATGATGGACGCAAACTGAAAACCCAGATGCACAGACTTGAACGAGAATATCTCACAAATAGGACAGGATCTGTTGGCAGGAGAGGAATACATGTGAACATGGTGAATGTTATGATACAAAAACAATGAAGAAGTAGGCTATATACAAAAGGACCAATGGACAGTCATATCCCCTAAATCATTCATCACAAACTGTGGGATTGTCCAAATCAGATGACATATTGATATTCCGCCACCTAGATCAACACAGAAGGTGAATGGCCCTCTGTTGGGTACATCAAGGACTATCTACTGAACCCCAAACAGAATGACATCAGTCTGAACTAATGTCATTTTGTGACATGCTGGCAAACTTAATGAAGTTAAAACGTCCCCAATCATATACATATCCCACAGTTTCTTATTAATTTCGGGTCAGGCAGGATCTCTACTCTCAGATTTAGTTGCTAAGGGAACAGATCCTGACCTGGTTCCATGTATTCAGAGGGACTTTGTGTTTCCATTTTATTTCTCTGTCAAGCCTGAAATCACTGGTCGAAGTTCAAGGCTTAAAACATGAAACGTCCCTCACTTTCCACAAAGTCATTTATATGTGAAGGTAGAAAAAGACACCAAATCCATTGAAAGCACAGAAGTAGCACAAGCCAGAATCACTTGCTGACAGCAGATATGGTAGCCCACAAAAGCTCATTGGTTCCTTCCTTCATGCTCTCCGCATCAAAGTCCAGATCAAGTAGTTCTCGAACGCGTTTCATGGCCACTTCATAATCATCATCTGACAGGGGAGCGAAGGCATTTTCCAAAACGTCTGAAGCATGAGCAAGATAAATGAGAGATAATACACGTTTGTCCATTCGATGGGCATCATTGGTCCAGCGACTGAGAACGGAATCTTGGACTCGCTTGATGAGCTTCTGCTTGACGGTTGAGTCGGTAAGTGGATGTGTGGTCATGTCAAACAGCAGGAAATTCTGTTTCTCAGTGGAACATACACCTTTCTCGACCAGATTTTTGGCCAAACGCTCTCGTACATTCCTCAATTGATAGCGCAGTTTCAGAGGATTCCAGGTTTCACCTGAAAAAAAGAAGTTAAACAATGAACCATGGAATTCACACAACACTTCACGCTGTAGCAATTCACGAAGCTCCTCACAAAGATCGCCTGTTCACCGAGCTCTCTATACTACAGCTGCCACTAGTAAAAGCTAACCCACTGTACTAGGTTGAACTCATTGACCATTATGCTTACAAACAAGTGATCACTGTCGTGACGCTGAACACTGTTCCCAAACTAACTTATTTTGTTTGTCAATTTAATTAATATTTCATTTCAACTATCTCGTCATTAGTTTTGTGAGCGTGCTAGAGAGAAGTTGAGAGTTTTTTCTGTTACTCTGCAATCTCGAACCAATCTAATAAAACAAACAAATGTAAATTCATCTGGAAACATAATAAGTCAGTTGTTAACCATGTCCCAATTCACTAGAAAGACTTTCCCAAAGATATAGACATATAAACGTCACTACATTTGGGGTTAGAGGGAAAAGAATTCAAGATTGTTGTAATGACCGCTTGCACACTGGTGGCAGCGATGATACTGGGAGAGTAGCAAAGGGCCATTGAGTTGGAAGGAGAGTCCCACTTCATGGTCTAAGGGAGACAACTCATGCAACAAAGCTCTCTATTTGCTGTGTAAGACAATACAGCGTTAGAAATTGGCACTAGTCCTGTAGTCCTTGTGAAACTGCCCAATAGTTAAGGTATCATAAGGCCTAGTAGAAATTTGCCCTTTTTAAGGGTTTTGCTATATGTTATTATAAGGACTAGCGGACTAAAAACATTAGTGTCTACCACTGCAATATCATATCATGGGTGGTGAAGGTTTTACAACATTTAAAAAATTCTTTTCCAAAACGAAAAAAGAAGGCTCTGATGTCACCATGGCCTAGAATCCTCTTGGACAGATAGTTTATACAAGAAAATAGGCTGTCTTGGTTTCCTTACCTTCTTTTTGAAAATAGTACCACATTATTGAAAATGACCCTACTTTTTCTCATGGACATTCCTAGAAGTTTGGTTTTGGAAACTAGAATTAACACTGAATGTGAATTGAGAAAATGGCAACAAGTTATTTTTCCATTGAAGAAAGATGTATACATCCATACATACATACATACAAACCAACCAGTATACCCAGTTCAGCACAACAGACATTTCACCTCATTAGCAAGGTACATACTTATTTGAAGACAAACTAGTTTAGTCTCATTGGAAAGAATTTAGGTTTTGTAGCTGCAAAACAAATGCTGACTATATCATACAAACGTTTTTGGTGATACATAGTTAATATGGTTACCGGTATAGTGGCTCCACACAAATCCTTGTGCATCAATGTTTTTTGTGAGCATGGTGAGAGGTACACTTAAACAGCTTTTCCACATACTTAAATCACATCACTTTGATGCCTAGACATATAACATGTATTATGAGTGTGCCATTTTTCTGAGTTTACGGCAGGAAGAAAAAAAGGTAATTTTGAAACAGTTTGGGTCAATGTCAATCATGTTTCAACTTAAGATGAGACTGCCAATTTTACTTGTTATATTGGAAGGGCCAATCTTGTTAAAATCAGATATTTTACTCCAATGATCCCTCTCTGTTTGAAGATCTAAGGACACCTCCACAGACACACTCCTGCGTAGCGGTGACTTAGCATAACACCACTGCCACAGGCTAATTTGCGTATCACTTGACTGGACTTTTCTCTTGTTTGAAAACAAACACGCTTTTTCAGAAATCAGAATAGAACGGACTAATGCAAGTATTTGGGGGCGCTTTACATATTGTTTTGCATAATCGGAAAAATATGCTACTACAACTGCAACAGTGAGTTGCATCACAATACATATTTACAGATCAAAGTGACCGTATCACTAGCTCTCAATTGGGCTTTGATGACAGCCGTGTGGAGCTGTACAACCAATGTAAACATAGGATAACTACGCAAATGGAAATAGTTTTTCACGATTTAGGATATTTTCCCAACGAAAGTTAACCATTCTATGACATGTTGATCTGATTATGTAGACTTGTCCAAAATGAAACAGATGAAAAACATATGCAATATCTTAAATAGACGGTGTAAGATGTGACGAATTGTCACATGGCGCTGGTCTGAGGCAGAGGTACTATGCTGGTCGCATGGAACTCCCGGTAGGAGAGTTCTCCACAGAATCAGGTATCAGTGTTGAGGCTTGCTATTTTAATCAAATTCTATGTGCTGTAATACAACACTGGCACAAACTGCTAGTTCTTGTAAAATATGAATGAAATATACATGCAGTTTGAAAGCCAAACTCTTTGCCTAAATGAGTAATACAACAGCTTTTGAAATAAGAAATGAAAGTCACGGGGATCCTTAGCCTTTACTTTATGAATGAAAGAACGTGCGGACCCGATTACAAAATACTATATGAGTAAAACTTAAGGACCTCATTAATATTTTCTATGGTGGCTCAGTGACCAACTATGTTCATAGTCATTGTCGTTATTTCAAATCACGACCACTGACTGGTCAACTTCCAACAAAAACACAAAATAACACACCACTGAGGTATTCAATCCAACTCTGGACAGTTTCTGCTGGTTGCGTTTCTTTGATGTGCTTGAGAGCTTCATCTAACAAGACATCTCCAGTAGGGGTGTCGGACTTGCAGATGACCTTGCGATTGAGCAGACTTCGCCGTCTCATTCCTGCCTTCTCCAGCTCCAAACGCCCACGCAGTGCTAGCTCTATCAAGATGCATCCTCTCAGCCCAGATGATATACAGTCATTCCAGAAGGAGGTATAGCCCTGAAACAGCCGAAATAAATGGCATTCTCAGACTTTAACAATAAGACAAACATTTTCAGCAATAACTATGGAAAATGATGACAGAATGAATGACAGTTAACATCAGTTCCGCTACAAATGTAGACAGTAGGGCTGCAACGAATACACTATGAGGCGAATACGATTTATATCACGAATATAGGGTAAGAAATACGAATTTTAATTCACAATTACAATAACAAGTCAGCAGTTTATGTATTATATTCAGTGAAACAATAACATCATAATTTATTTGACATGGTTTGTTAATTATTAATAAATTGTACATTTATATACTGCACGTATCCAGGTACTAGTATCTGCTCAAATGCGACAATGACCAGTGAAAACAATACTATCAAATTAAATATTATTAGAGTGTTGTCATTGAAAGCAATCTATGCATATAATATGTTGTTATGGATATTTTTAGGTTCAGGGTATGTAAAAATACATGATAGCATATTCATAAATATTCGATTCTAGTGGCCATGAATAACGAATTCAATTCATGAATGGTTACGGTTCGATTCACTGAATACGCGAGTGAATCGTAACAGCCCTAGTAGACAGACAGACCAGTCTATTGAATATGTCTTCCTGGAACACTAAGCAGCAAGAGGTGGTCGCACTGAACTCTGACCATTGTTATAAACACAATGATGATACATTTTCCTCTTACTGCAACAGTTATGCAGTGATCATTCTATTTCTTGAGCGAGGGATTGTACTTCTGCAGCACTTGTGTATGTTTCCAAGCCTAGGAGTGGCTCTTGATATGGGAATATGATTTCCAATAAAAAAATAAATAATCTGATATCATCATGATCATTATCATAACATACAGTTGTTTATTGATAATTCCAATCTTGGTAAAAAAACACCATTACCAGTTTCTACTAAACATGCCAAATAATAAGAATGAAGTAAAGCACATATTCAGGCCTGTACATGTTCTTGACCAGTTGACATGATTTTAGGCTTATAATAAACAAACCTGACTATTAGACCCCATGTGGGTCATGATGATAATGAATATAGCATGTTAATTTTGAATGCTAACAAGGGCGCAGTAACACAATTTCTTGACATTCATTGAAAGTATGAGGGGTGTTCATTAAGGATTTCCCCTGACCCACTTCCGATGGACCTAGTGGAATGAAACTTGGCATAGGTATTAGTCTTTCTCCACATAGGAACCACCAAGAGTTGACATCTTGTGCTAACTGGCGAACAGTTATATGTCGGTCTGCCAAAATTGCGGTCTCCACTTGATGGATAGTGTCCTCATCAATGGCCGAATGGGGGCGACCAGGAATGGCAGCTGTTTCCACAGATGTCTGACCACAATTGAACTGGCGATGCCAGTGTTTAACAATGTCATATGATGGGACATTTTCCCCATAAGTTGCTTTCATTTCATCGAAAGTTTCTTTTGGTGTGCGACCTTTCAAATGTAAAAACATAATCACTGCTCGGTATTCTACTGGCTCCATTGTCACACCCTTCTCCATCTTAACACCTGTAAAAGTGGTAAGATGAATAGTTCGGTGCTGCAAATTCAGACATAACCCATAGATACATGTATCATTACACATGTGAAATTTCAACCAAATATGATAACCCTAAGTGGTTTAGGGGAAATCTTTAATGAACACCCCTCGTATGTATATATCAGAGTACCTGAAGTAGGAATGATGAAATCACATGCTCAGTAATCGGGCTTCCAAAACAAACGTATATGAGGACATGGCCTAAAGCTACCAGTGAAGTTGTGCAGCAGTGTGCGACAAATGTTTTCGATGGCTGATGTGGTGTGGTTATTTCTGTTAACAGGTTAAAATGGTTAATCCTACAAAAATAAAAACATTGCATACACTGTTGAGCATGTTGAGTGTGTGAAACGACCTTTGATCTTGACCATGTGAATAATTAACATGATCAAATTTCTGTAAGTGACTTTTTTAAGATTAACATCCTGTTTGGGTACCTGCTGTCCTTGGAGATTTGAGATTACATCACAAATAAAGCCTCTCAAGGATTAATCCCTTTAGTAGACAAGTGAAGGCACCTTCTATATTGTTAATAATTCTTGGCACACGTTGTGGACATGGCAATCACATAAAAGAGCAGACAGAAAAGCCCTGTAATCATCATCATGTGATGCAATTAAAAAATCAGACATGGAAATGGGCAGGCCACTATCATTTTGTTCAAAAACAAATGGGAAACCCAGATTTTGATGACAATATATCCTATAAATCTTTATTGTCCGTTTTACATGTTTAACGCTATTTCTGTTTCTGAAATTTGATTTTGGGCAAGCATTTGTGATTGAGCATGCCAGAAAGTATTAAAATCTGCTAAGTTGCTATGTTCACTAGACTTGTCCAATCATCAGTTAGCAAGACAGTGCTGCAACTGATGAAGTGCAGTCTTATCAAAATAAAAACTGTTAAAAAAGGCATAATACAATGCACCAATTAACCTGGTGACCTGGTGTTCTTGTGGTATTTACAAAATGAGATATGTCATTGCCCCAAAATAATTGATAATATTCAGACATTGTTTATGTATAAATCATACATTTGTTTACCCATGATCATGATATTATTTTGTATATCGGCAGCAATTTTGTTTTATCACGATTATAACAATATAAGCAAGGTTCACCATGGTAACTATATTTTCAGTCTCACAGAAAACAAATCACTTAACATGCTTACATTGGTTCTACGGGTGGCAATGTTTACTCATTCCATAAATATGCCTGGATGTATGTTCTGGGGAAGTGATGACTTGGCATCACACCACTGCCACAGACGAACTCCAGGAGAACTTGCATTTTGGAATTACATAAACATTTCAAAGGTATTTGGCAAGTGTATAACATAAAAAAAACATGACAAAAATCTCTATTTTGAAATCACCCGATATACTGAGCATTCAACAATGACATTGCGATATGTATCGTAGAAAGAATGAACCTTAATTTACAGATATACTGGTAATACTGTGCACCTTTAGTGTGCACTGCACAGAGTTTACGAACTTCTGACATGCTTTACCATGTTTACTTGACATCATCATGATCATGGCCAAGATTTTTCCAATTTTGCACTGCAAAAAAACGTTCGCAAACACATAATGTTGGTGAGTGAAAACGATGATGATTGATGACAATAACTTTGGAACTAATAATGGCGATGGTTGACATAATTCCAAGCCGATTGGATGAAAATACACACATGTACAAAATGGCCATGTCGGTGACATTCGAAAGTAAATCAAAACTGGTGGCTGTGGAAAGAAAATAAAACAAAATTTTGGCTAATAAAGTATGTGTGACTACTATACAATTCCAAGTATTATAAAAGCTGCAAGGTATTTGATTAAAATGCTTTTAAAAGAGAATTTCATTTGTTTCTGGCTACCTACAATATTGGCTTCATTTACTGATTTACCAGTGGCTACCTGGGAAAAAATATGTTTGAAGCCATATCATGCACCTAAAAAAAACAAACTTTGAAGCCCGGATTCATAAATCATGCTAATTTAGATGACACAGAAATTGCCTTGTTGTTTATCAGATTACATGAAATTATTGAAACTTTGATTGTCTGTTACTGGGCATGTCTGCTTATTTCACACATTATTACAAGTGAGTGAGTGTGTTTTACACTGCATCAGCAATATTATCACAAGTGAAATGACAGTGTTAGAAACACCGTTCTAGTAATCTGTCGATATGTCCTGGGTAACTGTCAACAAATCCACAAAAATTGGAGAGAGAAAAACAGACCCCAAATCAGGAAATAAAGCATAAACCGACGAGTTGTGTGCTACAATCAGCTATTCCCAGTCTAATTCATTGTTCAAACCTTGCCTTATGTCCAAAAGACTGACCAGTGGTGACAGGTTGTCAGTTTGTCACACTGACGTCAGTCAGGGAACCTCCACAAGACAATAACATAATTGGGGAAAACTTGAAAACAAACATATATATATATAAACAGTTGATGTCCTCCCATTCTAAGCTTATTGTCATTCGCTAATTATGGTTATACCTCTCTGTCCTTCAATCCAAGCAATAAGACTTCTTCCATTAGCGTCAGTCGCGTTTCTTTCGAGTCGTGATCCTCCATTTCCTCTCTCTGGTCATAATTATCTTGTGCATCATTAGCTTCTGCCCCTTGGCTCGCTGGTTTTCTTTGTTTAAGTCCAACGTTTCTCTGTGTTAGACTTGTCATGTTTGTCGTATGATGTCAATAAATAAAGAAAAGTAGAGTTTTATGTGTCTGTTTTCAACAGAGCCCACTCCAAAATGGCCGATCGAGAAACAGAGTTGACGTAGTTGTCAAACGAGATTTTACGAGATGATAAATATAAATAATAACAAAAATGGAAAATTAAACAAGCTTGACCTCGTTAACACATAACAAAATCGTTTGCACTATAACGTTAATTTTAACATATTAAAACATTTTACATTACATTTCCAACAAGTCATAATGCTCTATTTTGATTGGATAAAATATATTTGGTCGCGCAAAGTTAAAATTAAAATTAAGTTTTGACGTTTATTCGGCGTTTATTGTCATAGCATTTTATTATTACCCCAAATTGTCCAAATATAACATGTCTTAAAATTCATAATTGTTTTAACAATTCTGTGTATTGACCGCGGTCCTGTCATGTTGCCAAGGTAAACTTCTCAAGCATCACCAGCCACTTCGGGAAAAGTGCTTGCAGTAGTATCATCATGAATGTGAGGACATACAACCCGTCCGTCAGAGTTGGCAATTGGAATGAAGACATACAACTCGAGGAGGTAAGAATTAAACATTTGTGTTTGGTAGATACGAAGCATGAGATTATTGAAATGGCTTAGGCAGCTGCACTCGTAAAGCCAGACAAGACAATGGGCCTATTCTGCATTGCTTTGGTATTTAGTCTCGAAACTACTAAAAGTAATATGGGGATAGTCCAGCTACGAAAACACATTACCTTCCAGAATGGCATAGGCAATTTTCATGCGTTCATTTCTTTGTTATTGTCAAAATTGATGAGGATTGTCAAACCTATTCTGTAAAAATGCTGGAAAATGGGTACAAATTCAGTTCCTGTTGTATGTCAGTGTACGTAGGCTAATGGGCATGGCTTGGCCGGCAAGAATGCAGCATTTTTGACACCTTCTGCCAAGTTTTTCAGATGCCATTTTTGTTGCCTCACGAAAATAACAGGGGGCTTGGGTGTCTTTTAGGGCTGGGACGAGTCCAAATTTACTACCCGGGTACCCAACCCCCTTTAACCGACCCTACCCGGGTACCCACTGTAGGTCTCAGGAGATGTCTCAAAATGTCTGATTGGGAACATTTTTAGCATAGCCCTGCCAAGAACATATTTAGATACACGTATTAAACAATCTGGTCATTCATACACTGAAGTTGAATTAAGTTATATCTTTAATCAACCATATGAAAAATCAGAAGGAATGGGTGCAAAGCCCGAAAGAAATGGGAACATTTGTGACTTTTAGTTTAACCATAGAGTTCTAGATATTCTTTGTCATTAAACAATATATCACGTGACTAACCACGTGTCTGGGTAGTCATGTTGTTACCCGGGTCCTACTTAGTACCCACCCGACCCGGGTACCCAAGTTACTCGTCACAGCCCTAGTGTCTTTGTCCCAACTAAACGGCTTAAATGAAACTCTTTCATAAGGTATATAAATGTTATGTTTTGTTACCAAAGCAGATACAAAATACAATGTGTTCACTGAAATGTGGCTCCAACAGATGTCACTGATGAGGTTGCTGCACGCCTCAAGTACTTTTTTTATGTTGGTGTCCAGTTTTCGACGTTTATGCATCATACAAATGCAAGCTGTGTCATTTTTTCGGCACATTTTTGGCTCTATTGCCCAACTTTTCAAATAGTGATGTTGTTGCGTGAAACTTTATTAGTAGCATCAAACAAACATTGCGGGTATTTGTGAGGTATAATGCATGTGTACCAACTCGGCCTTTAAAAAAAGCCTTAAATTTGTTATTGCAGTTTCTTATGTTATCATTTTCTTCTTAATTCTAACTCACATTTAAGTATTTGAAAAATGGTTACACATTTATCAATAAAAATGGGTACTGGACAATCCGTACCCAAACTTTTTTTAAGGGATCATATCCAAATGTTGGATAACTGTACCCAGTGGCCACTCATACCTAATCAACTGGATGACTTGTACCTTTAAAAGAGAGTCCATACCCAATGAAAATACAAAATACAATTTGAGATTGTGAGAACCACTGGGGATGGGGGTTAGTGTAGGTTTACTGAAATGCAATCATCAATATTCCAGAACAGTGTGCCCTTCAATTTCATTCTCAGCTCCCTGGGGAGTACCGAACCAAGTGCCTTATGAAGTGCCAGAATGTTTACATTCATACATTACCATCTCGTACTACCAGGTACCCATTCACTGCTGGATGTACAGAGGCACATTTTGAACAAAGTTATTTGCCTAAGTTGACACTACAGGTAGTTTCATTGTGGGGCAGGCCAAAGACCCAGAAATTCTCAGGAATCAAGAGTGTCGAACATGGTGTACCCATCCACCTGCTCTACATAACCAATGTTGCTTAACTGTGCCTGATTTGTCACCTTGCGATGTACACGAGACAACATGCCACCACCAAAGTCAAAAATCTCTCTGGCCTGTAGTGGTGTAACGATACAACAATACAGTATTGTATCCCAATACAAGACCCATGATACAATACATCGAATCATGATATATAAGATACATTACATTACACGTTATGTGCGTGTAAAAACATATGAATAACAACTTAGACTGTTCAACAACCACCTTATGCATATTCTCCAGTATATCCTGTTTGGCCATTAATAGCTTAACATTCACAGTGCAAGGCCGTAGTTAACTTTTTTTGACAGGGGTGCAAATATTTGTACAAGTATAACTTGTCCCCAACTTGATTCAAATAAAACTGTTTTCTATAAAAAATCTAGGGGGGCAACTGCTTCCCCCCCCCCCCCCCCCCCCTGGCTGGCTACAGCATGCAGTGCCCTCTAGCCTATATGTTTCTGCCCTATAATACACCATCTTTGATCCATCCCTGAATTGAAAAATACAAATGATTCAGTGTTGTGATGCTCCTGCAAAAAGAAAGAATATCAACTTATGAAATATAAGTACTGTATCAGAGTATGAATTGTATCGCTCCAATAGTATTGGGATACGTACCATATCGTTACACCTCTAACTGCCACAAATCAGCGACCTGCATCACTTCAGGTTTTCATCTCTCTGATGGTGATGTTTCAGGACACCCTGAAGGACTTCCTGGAGAGGAAGCAGAAGGGACAGCTCCTGATCCAGCAGTCTCACAGTCTGGGAGCAACACTACTGCAGAAGGTCAGTGCAAAACACTCAGGTCGAGTGAGTGAGTGAAGCTTTACACCGCTTTTAGCAATATTCAAGCAATATCAGTTATTTTAGTATAAAAACATAAATCCACTGATCATGCCTACCATGTGGCTTACTAATAACAACACAAAGATTACCGTATTCGACGTAATAAGTGCCCAGGGCGCTCTCAAAATTAGAAATAGGGGGCTCCTATTGGAATATTATTTTGGTGAAAAAACAGAGTTGAAAGTTCGTAAATATCGTGGTTTATGCTGACAACCTGAAATGTTTATATACGACATATATTTTTCCAGGATTTAATTGCTCATAATTAAGGGTGCATATAACACACGAGTGTGTATTATACACAAATAAGTAAGTCTTGTGTTCATTGATCGGAAGAGGTGCTAATTGAGATTGTTCACTAGCCAATATATTAGCAAATATCGCCGTTTGCGCTTATCAGAGCTGGGCGCTTATTACGTCGAATACGGTATGTATTTACACCTGAAAAACACTGCTAAGTCAATTAATTATCAGGAAGGGGTGGTCAGGTAGCGTAGTGGTTAAAGCGTTCTCTTGTCAACAACATTGGTACAATGTGTGATTTCTGGTGTCCCACGCTGTGATATTGCTTGAGTATTGCTAAAAGCGGCTTAAAACAATACTCACTCACTAATTATCAGGAGACGATTTTAGGAACTTACCCTAACTGGAGGTAGAAAAGTGCTTTATTCACATTGACAATATGCATTAAGTTGAACTTGAACGGTTTGATAGGCATTTCTTAGAAGTTGTAGACAAAGGTTTATGGATAACAACGCCCAACCCCAGGAGGCAAAATATAAACTATTGTTACTAATTGTGTGCATTTTAGATTACATTCTTATATTATTGTGAAAAATAATTTCAGAGGGACCTGAGCGTATCTCGTGATGGGTGTGTCCACTTTGGAGATGTTGTGATGTTGACATGCCAGGAGGCGGCAGACAGAACCAAATACTCGTCCGGTGTGAATCCCCGGGACCAGTGTGCACTGGCTGCCAGTTCCACAGATATATCTGGTACCAGGAACTTGGAGCCGGTCCTGCGATCTGTGTTCGTCATTAAGAGGTAAGACTAGCTTATGGTGGCACTGATGCAAGAGTTTCAAGCATTATGTGCATATTTTGCATCTAGAGCAATGCTGTCTTTTAAGGATTGGTTTGTGGATCTGCCGTCAGGCATGATGTGGAATGTGATGGGGTTGTTCATTTCTGTGATGAATTAGACACAGATCTGTCATAGTTTCATCTTCCCGAGGCAAGAGAGTAAACTGACTATAAAAGTCCAGTTTCCACCCTTGCCGAACTAGGCTGGTATTATGGAGTTACATTTTGTCTGGACTAACGAGTCTATGCATAGTCCAATCAAAATCGCACACCGAAGTCAAAATCCGGCTCGTAGACTGTCGTGCAGATTTCGATCGATTGCAGGATTTGCAAAGCAGGTGCACCGCCAACTCGCTGTCAGCAGATATTTTCCAAATCTTTTTATGTATTTAATCAAGGTGCTCACGTGATTTGATGCATTTCGCGATGTAAGACCCGTTTTATCACAATATAGATCTTGATTATTGATCAGATCGTCCTGACTGAGCACCACCATTTTGTATGAAGCAAACGCAAGGGATTGGTCCATAGGCTTAGAAGGGACATAATTGGCAATAGCCACTGGTGTCACTACGATCGAGCCCAGTAATTCCAGCCCAATTCGGCAAGGGTGGAAACTGGACTTTTAAAGTTAGTTAACTCCCTTGCCTCGGGAAGATGTCATAGTTTATAATCCTGTCACATTTCATTGATTGATTAGTTGTTGTTTAATGCCGCACTCAGCAATATCATCATAGTTCCATACCACGCGGTAGTTTGTGATCGAGGAAAGATGTCCTATGCAAAGACATGGGTGACCCAACCTCATGATAATTATTCTGAAAAGCACACAGGGGTTTTATACAAACAGCCCATAGATGAGTATTTCGTTTTTACGAATAGTTTAGAACTGGCTTCCTCATGTACATCTCACGGTGGAGGCCTTTGATAGCAGGCTTGGGTACCTGTGCCCCATAATACCAATCGTGGGATAAGTGCACAGTGTGAGACAGGAAAAGTAAATAAAAATAAATAAATACTCATTCTATCTTGCACACTAAATGCCCAGCCATCCCTGCATCAAAGGTATATAAGCCTGTATGATTTGAAAGAGTTTGACTAAGCGTGGGACGTCACATGCTCGCATTGAGCGGGAAACAAGCCAGGGCACAGCCCATTGTTGGTAATGGTCGCCATGGAAATGGCTGGGATGTGAGGGGTGCGTTTTTTTTAAAGCTGGAAACATGTTTTGGGATTGTTTCCACACAAGAATCGAGAAAGAAAGTGAAATGTAAGGTGTGAATTTATGAAAATACAATTTATTGTAAATTTTGCAAATTTGTAATTTTTAATTGTAATCATTGTTTGAAATTAGGGGGGTCCTAGGGTCCTTGGGTCCTTGGGTTTTCCTGTGGTAGTTGTATCTAGGGACACACTTCATCTTTAACATTCAATGTTTGGGTTATAAAACGGACTCCTTGACTTTCATGCTGAGTTTCAAACACTGGTAATCATAGGATGTTATCAAGTAAAGGCATTTGGTCATGAGCGTATTAAAGTGTTGTTTGTGTATCTATTGTTTCAGTGTGGACGGTTCCGCAGATGGTCAGCCACTGTCTTATGGTCAAGCTTTCCACCTGTCTACTGTCGATGAGGCAGGGAATGTGAGTTTAGTGAATTTAGTGAAAAAGTGTCAAAGTAATGCAAAAATAAGAATTCAGACAGTCTGGGTTTTTCTTCAAACAGTACTGCACAATTTCCTTGTGCTAAACCAAGGGACATCACTCTTGTTCCTGCTATTGTGATAGCCTTAGTCGGTAGAGCACCTGACCTCACACAGACTAGTAAGCTGAAAGGTTTGTCACACAGTGGCATTCATCATTGTGCTTTTCATAGTGTAGTGAATTAAAACTAGTGCATTTTGGTCTCATGCTATAAGGATGACTGCCATGAATTTAACAAAGGTTCTCCTTAAATATTAAATTTCAATCCTGTGAATAATATGTTCCTGAAGCTAAAAATATTAGAAAAATGAATTGGTATTAGGCTTAAGCCTCAAAATGAATAAAGCAGTATTCAAAGATTTGTGAATGACGATGATTATGTCAGACATATGAGATGATATTAGTGTCTGTGAATGGTTTTCCTGCCTACAAATAATCTATTAAAAGCATGACTGTGGGTGAGAATGCAAACTCCCTAAGCCCCCTGGAATAATTATGAATTAAATAAAAATGACAAGTGATAAACCATAACAAGGCAAGTGATTCGGGCAAAAAAATAGTGCATACCTTACCAGACCGGTGCAAGGTATCTGGGATGTTGTACCTGAATAGTTATCAACCATGCCAATATTTTGAAATACCCCTGATGATTATCGTTTTATTGTAGTGACCATGCTATATCATGTTTCTAACTCCAGGGGTGTCCACAGCTCAACACAATAATACAGTCAACAAAACGCAATCCACTTCTGGTTGATGTCACCATTCAAAACAAACAAAAATGCCAGTCTGTCTTGAGTGCTAGTGATCTTTTAATGTACTGTTCTAAATTGATGAAAGATGAGAGGTCACATAAAATGCCACGTTGCATCTGTTCTTAATGCCGACTCGTCACTTTCAGCTGCTGCTCCACAGTTATTCAGTCAACAAAATGCAATCCACTTCTGGTTGACTTCGTCATTCAAAACAAACAAAAATGCCAGTCCGTCTTGACTGCTAGTGATCTTTTAATGTACTGTTCTAAATTGATGAAAGATGAGAGGTCACATAAAATGCCACGTTGCGTCTGTTCTTAATGCCGACTCGTCACTTTCAGCTGCTGCTCCACAGTGACCAGGTGTCATTCAGGAAAAGCGCAAAGAAGTCTCGACACCAAGTCGTATCTCTAGTGTCCGAGGCCTCCTACCTCACGCAGTGGCAGGTCAAGTGTCGGGATCCAAGGGTCAGGATGGAGTTTGAAGGGGCACCTGTTCCTGTGAGTATTGAATGTATAAACAGTGTATAAAATATTGGTTATAATAATTAGTATTATTGTGGTTCATTTAAGGTCAGAATATATGAAATTATTTATTTTTCATTTTAATCCAGGCCTGTCTCACTACCAAACACCCTGTGTAAAAATGATTTTATTGTCCACGAGTATCTACCGATGAAGACCACTGGTGTGTGTGTTCCTGTGTTTCTTTACTTGATGACATACACCATACACATAGTTCTATCACACATTCATGCTTCATGACGCCATTGTCGGGCGGTCGGGTAGCCTTGTGGTTAAGTGTTCGCTCGTCATGCCGAAGACCCATGTTCTATTTACGACATGGAATCTTGTCATACCGGGGTTATTAAGTTATTGTGGCCTTGAATTTTGTTCAAAATGAAAGCATATATTTTTTTTTACATGATTAATATTAAAAGCACTGTTGCAGGCTCTTATCCAATTAACACTGCCATTTGTAACAAATTCTAAGGTCATCTAATAATTTCAAGGGGAAATAGATATCTTATATGCAACAACAAATTGCACAAATCAAGGAGACGTTACTTGAATACTAATTGTTTATGACTGGTATAGAAAAGAATGTTGAGATTTTACTGGTTAAAGGGAGGTAACTCTCATAGCCTTTGTCTATTACTTGCCCCTATTATTTAGGTGCTGTATTATTACTTGTGGGGGACCAGCGAGTATATGATGCTAAATTATTCTGTTTGATAATATTCAGTATATAATTGTATGTATACCTTATTTTAGAATATATGTTTTAAAAATGTTGTAAAATACTCGATCCCAGAAATCTTTCAGATTTTTCACTGCGCTTGAATACTTTTCTTGATAAATTTCTTGAGCAAAGTCATTAATGCTGTTGTTTCAAAATGTAATTGACAGGCATCGAATAATGAATAACTACCACAAATGTGAAAACACAGTTTTCTTTATCTCCTAAGTACATAGATGCTGAGATGGCATGTTGATTTCCAAGACATGACGTGTCACACTGATTTCCAAGACATGACGTGTCACACTGATTTCCAAGACATGACGTGTCTCACTGATTTCCAAGACATGACGTGTCACACTGATTTCCAAGACATGATATGTCACACTGATTTCCAAGACATGACGTGTCACACTGATTTTCAAGAAAAGACTTGTCACACTGATTTTCACGAAATTACTTGGCTGAGTGCAAATATGCAAACAGTTGCAATGAAATTAAAACATATATCTTTGGAGGGTTATTTAACAGTTTCATTTTGAAAATTTTTGTGTTATAGGCCCTTTTTTTAACTAGTCAAGACTACGAATATTTAAATATTGAACTTTACTGATGATTGTTACATTCATAATTATTTGTGACCCATTTTCGGAATGTTCTGATATTGCAGACCTTTGTAAATTTGTGGTCATTGATGCTCATGATGTCAATAACTGGATTGTCTGGTCCAGACTCGATTATTTACAGACTGCCATCATATAGCTTGAATATTGCTGAGTGCGGCATTAAACAAACAAACAAACAAATGAATAGAGCATTGGTAAACACCAGTTCCTTATGGTGTGATGTTTGATAGCAATACTTGTGTTGCAGGCAAATGAACAAGTGATCATCACCCACTGTAAGACGAATCAGAACCTGGCTGTCGAGCAGGCCTTCCTTTTGAGGTAACACCATCGACGTTGGTGTACTAAACCAACAATAAAAACATGACAGGTTTCTAGTGTTTGCTAGATTGTCTGAATTGCTGAAATGTGTAATCCAATTGTCAGATAGCATCCTGCCTGTCATATAGATGTGACATTATTTCAATTATTATGTTGTAGATGTCATCAAGAGATTCTGCTTGTTTGTTGTCTTTTGACTCCTACTGGTCACACATTTTACTCTCTCAGCCCTTGATCAAATTTTACTATCTCAGAGATTGGTCACATTTTACTATCTCAGCCCTTGATCACATTTTACTATCTCAGAGATTGGTCACATTTTACTATCTCAGAGATTGGTCACATTTTACTATCTCAGCCCTTGATCACATTTTACTATCTCAGAGATTGGTCACATTTTACTATCTCAGCCCTTGATCACACTTTACTATCTCAGAGATTGGTCACATTTTACTATCTCAGAGATTGGTCACATTTTACTATCTCAGAGATTGGTCACATTTTACTATCTCAGCCCTTGGTCACATTTTACTATCTCAGATATTGGTCACATTTTACTATCTCAGAGATTGGTCACATTTTACTATCTCAGAGATTGGTCACATTTTACTATCTCAGCCCTTGATCACATTTTACCATCTCAGCCCTTGGCAACACTTTACTATCTCAGCCCTTGATCACATTTTACTATCTCAGCACTTGATCACATTTTACTATCTCAGCCCTTGGCAACACTTTACTATCTCAGCCCTTGATCACATTTTACCATCTCAGCCCTTGATCACATTTTACCATCTCAGCCCTTGGCAACACTTTACTATCTCAGCACTTGATCACATTTTACTATCTCAGCCCCCTGGTCACATTTTACTATCTCAGCCCTTGGCAACACTTTACTATCTCAGCCCTTGATCACATTTTACTATCTCAGCCCTTGATCACATTTTACTATCTCAGAGATTGGTCACATTTTATTCTCTCAGTCCCTGGTCACACTTTACTATCTCAGCCCCTGGTCACATTTTACTATCTCAGAGATTGGTCACATTTTACTATCTCAGAGATTGGTCACATTTTACTATCTCAGCCCTTGATCACATTTTACTATCTCAGCCCTTGATCACATTTTACTATCTCAGCCCTTTGATCACATTTTACTATCTCAGCCCTTGATCACATTTTACTCTCTCAGCCCTTTGATCACATTTTACTATCTCAGCCCTTGATCACATTTTACTATCCCAGACCTTGGTCACATTTTACTATCCCAGACCTTGGTCACATTTTACTATCCCAGACCTTGGTCATATTTAAAGGGGCACTGATCTAACGCAATTCTCCGGACTGGTTGTTGCCTTTGTTATTGTTTTTTTTCCCATGAGTACCCGGATGATACGCAACGCAACTGAGCGTGACCAGAGACTGGGCTACCGTCTGCAAGGACAGCTAAATAACCTTTGAGGCTGGAGGCAATATTTGTTTTACGCGTTTTTGCATAAACATTGATTGGTTAACTGTGATCTATAAAGATTTCGACAAAGGGCGCATGTTAATTAATTTCTTCAGCCTAAACAAACAGACAAAAAGAACAGCGGAGCTCATCGGATGTCGTCATTTGGAAATACCCCAGATGGTTATAGTTTAATACTAAAAAAAGTATCCATGCAGTGAAAGCATTTTCGGATTTGGGCTTGCGTCGATAATACGATTACTACTCCCTTGTTGTCATCCACGTTTTCTCGTATAACCCTACACTTGTGTATTTGTCGTCATTCACTTGATGCTTAGTTAATGAATTTATTACAGGTACAATTAGTGGTAGCACCACTTAGATTACCTGACAAAGGTTCCCATTTGGCATTTATTGTGTCTGGGGTAATTATTCAATCTAAATCCAGGTTTGAAGTGAGGTGAAATGTGTGTTATGTAATATGCCCGTGGCAGCCCAGGAGGAGATGAATGATCAGTTGATTTACTTTTTTTTGTAAATCAACGGATCATTCCTAGTCATCAAAGGATTAACAGAAAATACGTTGATTGATTAATCACTGTTATCTTGCACAGTGGATATGTCAAGAGTGAGTGTTTACATGTCTAGGTTTACTAAAACAAAGGGAATACACTCATATCATGGCGTGAAGTGCCGATGTAAAAACAACATACTTTGTTTAAAGGGTTAACTGTTAATACGTTGATTGATTGATCATTGTTATCCATCACTCAATGGATTTTTTAGGAACCGTGAACGTTATGAAAATAGTTGTCACGCGGGCTTTCTCAGCCGACCATTGAGACTTGACACCTATGCAAAACACCTGAAACAATCCAAGTGATCAGTTGAGAAACGAACACGGGTTATAATATCCCGAAACGACATATATCTTTTAAAATATTTGATTGTTACTGAGACACGTGACATCGAATAAGTTTCTTTGTACATCTGCAGACGAGTGGGATATTGTTCCTTTGTGTGGATATTCACGGAAACATTCCTCGAACAAGGACGCTGCCTAAAATTTATACACATAAATTTGGTAGGTTGTAATTATGATATTTGCATTTTGTTTTCCTTCATTTGAACCGATTCGTTCTTGTTTCTCTACGTCTTGGTTGGGAAATTCTTCAATGCGTGATAGACGTTGTTTTCACAGGTCTTTTCCTTTGTAGGCGTGTATATATTACCGTCAATTTGTAAAATGTGATTCTCTCAGGCAATTTATAAAATGTGTAAATATTTCAGTCATTTTGACTAAAAAATCTGTCCAGATTGATTAAGACGATCAAAAGGGCCTACAAACATCACAACAGATTATTATGTAGGATTAGAAGCCAAACAACATAGAAATGTACTTTTCTCAACGTAACATTTTCAGTCTCTTGGTGATGACATTAAACATCAAAATGTTTGGAATTCGTTATCATAATAATACAGATGGAAATGTTTTTCAGTCACTTTGTAAAATAACTGAATATTTAGACGTTTAATAAATTTGTTACACATTTGACAGTAAAAAAAATACACACTATAAAAAAAGCAATGCTAAGGTGAAATATGTACTTTTCTGTTGCAAGTCAAAATAGTGTAAACGAAAATCGCAAAATTACCAAGCAAGTGACTTATGAAAACTTCGTCACCATTACCGATGCTACCAACAAAGATACCAACATTTCCTTATTATCTCGAAAACTGTATTTCATTTTTTTCATCAATGTGACCATACGCCCTTATTACTACCCATAAAAGTGACTAATGTGCTTACGAATGGCGCAGCAGAGGTCGCGAACTAGTCTAGATTTCTGCTATACATCCGGGTACTCACTGGGAAAAAACAATAACAAAGGCAACAACCAGTCCCGGGGAATTGCATTAGGTCAGTGCCCCTTTAACATCTCAGCCCTTGGTCACATTTTACTATCTCAGCCCTTGGTCACATTTTACTATCTCAGCCCTTTGGTCACATTTTACTATCTCAGCCCTTTGGTCACATTTTACTATCTCAGCCCTTGGTCACATTTTACTATCTCAGCCCTTGGTCACATGTTACTCTCCCATGTCTAAGGCCTTTACTATCTCAACCTTGGTCACACTTTGAATCTGGATGTATATTTTTCAATGGAGAGCACAACAAACCAAATGCATGCAAACTCAGTTTGTTGCAGTCTGCAAGATTTACGGTGTTTGGTTCAATGTCTCAGGTTTTAATCATTAAGATGCACACTTAAAGGGGATTTTGTCTTGTTTGTAATTTGTATGGCTGTTTCTATCCAAAGTGTGTACATATTCCATAGTTTGGTTGCTCTCTGCTGGTTTTTATTGGTAGGCCTGTATACATACTTCATCAAAGAAATTGTTCATGAACTTACTGAAAGTGTATCCTATAATACTCCTGTGACTTGTCTTAGTTCCTGTTACAAAGCATTTGCAAGCAGAAGTGTTGGGAAGCGCTGTTCCCCTTTTTAATGTTTAATTATGTATGTCATCCTTAAATGTGACCAGATTTCAGAAAGACTTCTTTCAAAGTTATTTTGAAAGCTGATTTTGAAAGAGGCAACAAAATACATATTGTTTTATAACATCGGCAACTTTTTCAACAGAACCACCATGGGCCAAGAATATGAGATTTCCTGTAACACCTATCTCAACTCCCACAAAGCGGAGGAAGACGTCAACAAATGGGTGTTCAAACTATCCATGCCAGGAAATGATTTTTATCCCGTCGCCAAGGAAACCAGCAATGCAACCTCGGAATCCAGCCCCCCGACATCAGCCAATGCAGTACAGAACGACTGAGGTCCACCACGAGGGATCAGTATGCCAACAGTAGTGGCTTATTTTAAGTCTCATTTCATTTTCATAAAACATTTGACAGTGGCATGTAACAAGCTATTATTTTTATAGATATTGCAACAAATTCTAGTGAATTTTTAAAAATCCATTATCAGGGAATAACTTGTGTGTTTAAAGTGTAAATATTGCCATAATTAAATTTGGAGGTGCCATTTTCTTGTGATGTGGATCAGGGATATTCTGAGCTTTCACTAATCACTCCATTTTCTGTTTTTGTACCGTATTCGACATAATAAGCGCCCCGCTCTAATAAGCGCCCACAGCGATATTTGCTAATATATTGGCTAGTGAGCAATCCCAATAAGCATCCTTCCTATTGATCAATGTACACAAAACTTGTATAGTGTGTATAATACGCATTTGTGTTATAGTCATCCTTAATTACGGGCAATTAAATTCTGGAAAAATTTATCTGTCGTGTATAATACGCACAGACTTTTCTTTTGTATCATTTCAGGCTGACAGTATAAATCTTGAAATTTACAATCTTTCAACAAAATTATATTCTAATAAGAGCCCCCTATTTCTAATTTTGAGAGCACCCTGGGTGCTTATTACGTTGAATACAGTAATTACATTATCTTGATTTGTTCTGAATCTTTTACATTTACTTTTTGTTGTATTTTATTCCATAGCCATCGTCTGTTAAGTTTGTCACATAATTGTGTGTGAAAAAAGATCTGAAAGCCAGTGTGATACTAAGGGTGTCAGTTAACAACAACTACACATAAACGAAAATGGACACCAGGTTATAATGCCCCTTTATTACCACAACTGATCTGTGGATGGAGTGTTGATGTAAATATCCGTCATTTGTATGGTTTCCCTGTTGATAATATCATGGGTACTTATTCTGTATATACATGTATAAAACATACTTATCATGTACTGTCATGTTTGTCTTTTATTGACATCTTGGGTACGGAGTTGTCTCCCTTAGCCGTGCCACTATCTTCTGATTGTTAGTTCAAATCTCAGAGTCCTTGGTTTGTCAGCACCATATCCATGCATGCATGCAACAACAGTCAGGAATCAAAAATATTTTCCTGTGAAACACAAAAGAAAACCGAAAATAAGGTTATCCATTGCTGTCTTTCGTAAGTGAATGCCATGTAAAACTTTCAAATCTACACTTTGTCTTGCCCGCCTGCCAGCCAGCCCTACAGTTGGTCCAAGTTTTATAACTGGCTAGCTTCCACATATCATAAGCTTCTCTTCCACCGTAAAGCGGTGTGACTGTAGTGCACGTGTTGCACAAAATCAACATGGTTGGAACATGAAACAACACTGCAGGATATATAAAAAAAAATTAAAACAGAATACAACGCTGAATATTTTCTCATCAGAAAGTATTCAGCATTTTGTTGTAAGTGTTAAATACATTGGACTGTACACACGAATTGCAAGTACTTGCCTTAATCTAGCCAGCCCACTCGATCCCATCAGTCGCCTCTTACAATTCAACTAGCATGGGTCAAATCGGGCATAGAAAATAATTTAATGTCAATACGGTATTTGACATAATAAGCTCCCACGGCGATATTTGCTAATATATTGGCTAGTGAACAATCCCAATTGGCACCCCTTCCAATTGATCAATGTACACAGACCTATTTTTCGCGTATAATACGCATTTGTTTGTTATATGCACCCTTAATTATGGGCAATTAAATTATGGAATTAAATTATCTGTTGTACGTAAACATTTCAGGCTGTCGGCATAAACCAGTCTTTCAACTGTTTTTTTCCCCACCAAAATAATATTCTAACAAGCATGAAATACTCACATCCCCCGCCAATATGACATGTCGGGTGTGTGCAATGCATTAGCTTCTGTGAACTATGTTCACTGGGCCTTTTTGTAAAGAAATATAGTACGTTTTTCAAGATCTGTTCCGGAAACGAGGACTACCTCCATTTTCAGTCTAAATAAAAGTCGTTGCCATGGAAACGCGAAAAATAATTTTTTTTAAAATCCTAAACTATCAAAAGGCACCAGTTCACTACTAGACCTATCTATGTGCCAAGTATGACGAAGAAATATGGTACGTTTTTCAAGATCTGCTCCGGAAACGAGGACTACTGCCTTTTTCAGTCTAAATCAAAGTCGTTGCCATGGAAACTCGAAAAATTTTTTTTTTTAAAATCCCAAACTATCAAAAGGCACCAGTTTACCACTAGATCTATCTATGTGCCAAGTTTGGTGAAGAAATATGGTACGTTTTTCAAGATCTGCTCCGGAAACGAGGACTACCGCCATTTTCAGTCTAAATCAAAGTCGTTGCCATGGAAACGCTAAAAAATCCCAAACTATCAAAAGGCACCAGTTCACCACTAGACCTATCTATGTGCCAAGTATGCTGAAGAAATATGGTACGGTTTTCAAGATCTGCTCCGGAAACGAGGACTACCGCCATTTTCAGTCTAAATCAAAGTTGTTGCCATGGAAACTCGAAAAATAATTTTTTTTTAAATCCCAAACTATCAAAAGGCACCAGTTTACCACTAGATCTATCTATGTGCCAAGTTTGGTGAAGAAATATGGTACGGTTTTCAAGATCTGCTCTGGAAACGAGGACTACCGCCATTTTCAGTCTAAATCAAAGTCGTTGCCATGGAAACTAAAAAAATAACTTTTTTAAAAATCCCAAACTAACAAAAGGCACCAGTTCACCACTAGATCTATCTATGTGCCAAGTTTGGTGAAGAAATATGGTACAGTTTTCAAGATCTGCTCCGGAAACGAAATGTGACGGACGGAAGGAAGGACGGACGGCACCCATTCCTATATCCCTCTTCCACTTCGTGGCGGGTGATAATAAGAGCCCCTTAGTTCTAATTTTGAGAGCGCCCAAGGCACTTATTACATTGAATATGGTATGTAAATAATTAAGTCTGGACCAGACAATCTAGTAAGTATGATATACACGCAATCAACCAAGTCCTGATCCATTTGGACGCCTCTTAAACCAAACCTTTGGTCTAGATCTATAACCTTCCCATTGGAATTGTGACTGATGGATTCGTGCCACTATTTAAAGATGACAACACACATGAAAAACTATGTACATGATATACAACTTTTATTTTGATCATTTACCCGAGACAATTTAAATCATACAAAATTCTCAAAATATACACACTGTACAAACACATCTCTATTCAGTCTAACCATGTCTGATTGATACAATCCTCTCAAACAGACAACAAAGTCCAGTTCAGTCAAAACATAGTTGGACATTGGCATGACGGATGCTTATTATTTCCAACGCTCCAGGCACAACACTCATGTCAGACCAACGATAAGACTGCAGTGGCTACTCAATATATGAACAGAATTATGTGTAGGTCAACTGAGTGGCATTACAAAAAAACATATTCTAAGTTCAAAAAGTTTGATTTTTTAATTTTTTTATTTAAAACAAAAATCAAATTATTATTTATCAAAGAACATGTCCTGTCATTTATTTAAAGAGATACTCTGCAATAAGGCCTCGACCGATAAACTTAAGAAAACAAGTTAGCAGACCAAAAATTGGTTTTGAATAACTTAAATCAGTTTTCCTATAAATGCCAATATGTCCAAATGTAGTCCCCTCTTTAAATTGCACAATTGGCCGACCAACTGTAGGATGAGATGTGTTTGTTATGAAGAGTTGTGTGTCGTGTTAGAACAAAGACAAAAACAGAAGTATCTGGCCAAGCTTCACAAAGCGATCATAACTTAAATTTGAACGAAACTTAAGAACGTTTATGATCTTAAATTATGATTATGATTAAGAGCCTGTTTCACCAAACTGTCCTAGACTTCGATAATTTTAACTTAAGAACGTACTAATGATACAATTGCCCTAATATCACTTTATGGAACACGTGTTAAGATTGCAAATTTGGCTTAAGTTCCTAAGATTGATTTTGCTACAATCGCCTTGTGGAACTGGTTCGTGTTAACTTTTCGCATCAGCTTCCTGTTTTAAGTAAACCATAACATGCTAATGGTAATGTCTGTGCAACATTATGCCTCAGTGAGGGCCTGTTGGTGGCATGAAAACACAAACATTATGTAACATCGAAGAAACGTGAATAGAAGCAACATTCAGCTACACTTCGCACCTGTCAACTACAGAAAAAATGAAGTCGGATATTTCGACAAAAACAAAACAAATTATGATCATTTGGGAGTGGTAATAAACGTTATATCATACTTCAGATATAACTTACTGATGAATTTTCATTAAACCCGAGTTGAAGGTTAATATGGTTGCGGCAAAAACAAAGATGAGATCTTTGTGACACTTGTATATTTTGTTCATTGTATATTTGTCAAAACATGTTACTAATCTTCAGACATATAGTCGTATCAAAAAACGAGATAATACATGCATCTATCAAACAATCTGCGTAGTCTATCCTGCGTAACTTTTGTGAAGACGCTACATTTCAAAGTTCAAAGGTGCTGAATCGGTCACACAATGATAAATACAAGACTAGACTGTATGTCAATTGTAGGTTTACAATATGTCCAGTCGTGCTAGCGAACAAAGAAAAACAAGACTAATATTTTTTAAGTGAAAGCACCTTGTCTTATAAAAAAAACTGAAAAGCAAAATGCAACAACTTTGTAAGCACGTTTATTTTCAAGCATTATTTCCCATCATAGAAAGTTAATGGTCTTGGAACAAATATGGGGTTGAATTCAAGACAAAAATAATCAAGCAACATAAATATACTAATTCCATGTGAAAAGGGACAATTATTAGATGCTACGTTTATTTTCACAGGTTCGTGATATGTGGTAAACTCTTTGCAATGACAACCGTTTTTCTCAACACTTTTTTCCAGCAATACGAACAAAAATAAACAGTTTTCCTGTCAGACACATAAATTCAAGCACAGAGTTGTGAAACTGCTTTCCCTATGACTTCTTATATGTGGCTTCCGTGCTCCGTCTCTTGCCCTTACAAATTTTCAATACTTTTTTTATGGGTGAAGATACAATAAAAAAAAGGCAAACAAAATACAGTACATCAGCAGATAATCTGAAAACGTCAGCAGTAGTATCACAATATGTCGAGGAATACTGTCATGCAGTATGAAGTAATTATTCATATACAAGTCATTGTATAAAACACAACATTTGGTTGTATAAAACACAGATTATGGTTGTACAAACAACACAAAATCAGGTTGTATAAAACACAAAAACTGGTATAAATCTCCTGCTGCTACTACAGACACATATATGGAATGTATTGAGATGAATAGGCAAGTTAAGTAAAAAATCACCTTAAAACAACCTCATTGTTTTCTTTACGAAACTGCAGTTTAATTATACATCTATTACATATACACCTGCATAGATTTATAATTATATTGTAGATTTAATTGGTGCGTGAATATTTGACAACTGTGAACAACGAAACCTCGTTAATCTAGAGTTCATAAGACGAGTTACGATCTGTGTCTGGATTATCGAAGTTTCCCTGTAAATCAACTAAGCATGGTATATGTACATTTATCACATGTTGTTTGGGTTATCGTATATAAGCAATGTCATTTACATCATATATACAAAAATATGATCACACTCGTGATATTGCAAAATATTAACGTGTATAAATCTACTGCCAACGAAACACGTGAAACAAAGAAATGAATAAATGTTCAAATTTATATTTTGAGGAACTCAATAAATTGTTATCAGATTTATCCCAAAGTGGAAAACTGTGAAATTATAGTACCGTATTCCATGTAATAAGCACCGACTGTGCTCTCAAAATTATAAATAGGGGGCTCTTATTAGAATATAATCTTGGCGAAAGAGAAGTCTGTGCATTTTACACACGACAGATATATTTTTCCAGAATTACATTGCCATAATTAAGGGTGCATGTAACACACAAGTGCGCATTATACACAAATAATTAAGCCTTGTGTACATTGATCAATCGGAAGGGTGCTAATTGGGATTGTTCACCAGCCAATATATTAGCAAATATCGTTGTGGGTGCTTATTAGAGCGGGGTGCTTATTACGTTGAATACAGTATTTGTAAATTTCACAAAAAAAAAAAAAATTTCAAATTACTTACAAACTGATAGTTAAACAATCTACAAAAGAATGAGATAGCGAGTACACACTCCTGCACACACAGATGGTGATGCAGTCACATTCAATACAGACACGGAAGGTCACAACCAACCAATCATTTCAGTTTTTCATTCTTTTCCCAAAAACATATTTCAGCATGTTAATTTTCTGACCATAAAGAGGTATCATAATTGTTTGGTTCATCAAAATTGAAAATATATAATCTACGGTAATCCATCAGTTATTGAGATGTTAACTGCGCAGAGAATGAGTGAGTGAGTGAGGTTGGTTTAACCTTTGAGCTATTAGAATTACATCACGGCATGTGGGTTGAAAACACAAAGTGATGCAGGGCTCAGACGTTTTTCCCTTGATGAAACCCACGAGCATGGGAATATGACAAACCTAGAAACATAATCAAGGTGGATCTGGGTTTTAAGCGAGTAATGTGAGAGAGTGAGATGGGTTTAACGCCGCTTTGAACAGTATTCCAGTTATATCACGGCATGCCAGCTTAATACTGGGAGGAAACCCCGAAGTGATATTGGCCTGAGACATTAACACTTTGGTGAAACCCACGAGCACGGGTATGGTGCTGACAAACCAGGAAATAATCAGATGGATCTGCTATTTGATCCTGTGATCATAGGATTCTGACCTGCCAAGGGGACGCAACTCTGCACAGGAAATTGCGGCACCTTAGATAACATCTCTTTTTGAAAATAACCCCATGAAAATAAATATATTTATTTGCTGTATACAGTTGTTTTATACTCTTCTTCTGTTTTCAACTACGATCATAGTAATAGTGAGTGAGTGAGTGAGTGAGTGAGTGAGTGAGTGAGTGAGTGAGTACGGTTTTACGCCGCTTTTAGCAATATTCCAGCAATATCATGGCCGGGCACACCAGAAATGGGCTTCACACATTGTACCCATGTCGGGAATTGAACCCGGGTCTTCGGCGTGACGAGTGAATGCTTTAACCACTAGGCTACCCGACCACCCCCGATCATGGTAATAGCAAGTTTGTATTCACAAAACATAATTGTGTCAAATATACACCCAACACACTTGATCATAACAGTTAGATTACTTTGACCAGTTTTACACAAATATGGTAAAGAGTTCCGTGCCGATAGTGCAAACAAATCGTTCCACAACGTTTCGTAAATACTCCAATTCGATGTGCACACATGAACCGAGGCAGAGCCAAATTTTGAAAAAAAACCAGAAGGGTGCACATAATATCCAAGTCACAAAGTGCCTTGGCTGAGTGCTCAGTCAACATGTAAGGTGTCTGAAAAAGTGGGGTGCGCATCTCTGCGCATCTCTGCACCCACACGTCTGGATCCGTCCGTGTTGTACCTACAGTAACTTGGATGGCAATTTGCTTCATGTGGTATATCTATAAATTCACTTCGTTCAGTTAAGTGTGTGACCAACAAACTTCCCCATGTATTAATGTGAGTGTACAATCTCCTATCAGGCCTGAAACGTAGCAGTGGATTGGATAAACACTGAAGTGCATGAAATACATGAAACACGAAACAATAGCAATATATAAAAATAGAAGCATTTCAATGAAAAAAATGGACGTTTGTGTATATATTAATATCCCATCAAATTATGGACATGATATGCTTAGAAGAAACGCACTTTCTTTTAAGGCGGAAACAAGGACTGATAACTGCTTTTCATAACGGGTCGAAACATGTATAACAATGATAGGTGTTTAATGTTTGGCAAATGTATTTTTTACGTATCTCAACGTAACAAAGCAAATTAATCCGAATCTCGGTTGTAAATAGCTCCTGGCTTATGCTGTTACTGGTTATCTTTATTGTATGTACCATTCATGATAATAATAATCATTACAATACACCCAAATTACACATACAGAATAAACAAGCTTGTACTGGTTTGTATCACATGATCGACCTAATCTTGTTCTGTCCATCAAACCTGATAGATCACATTTCATCGGAATGTGATCACATTGATATGTGTTTTGAGGGGACTGTGTTTCATGTACACTTTCATGTTCCTTGTTGCCATTACGTATTCGAGGAGTTTATATCCGCCTCCAGCGTAAGCTCGGCTGGATTAGATGAGGTCGAGGGATCCTTCATGACTGCATAGAGGGGATTCGAAAATCCCCCAGATTCGTCCTCTGAATGAGTCGGGGTTTTTGAGAAATGGGCGTAGCCGTTGCCCTCTATTGAAATTTCTGAATCTTCGGCCAGATATTTTGTGGTGTCACTCATTGGGTCTGACGTTTCCCCATTGGACATATTCACATCATACAGCTGATTCCTCATGGCGATACTGCCATCATGAGTCTGTTCTATTATGTCGTCATGGAAACGTTCATGTGCAATATGGGACTTAGGATGACGACGGACGCGCCATAACACAATAGCAATGATCGATATAATGATAATAAGCAATAATATTGGCACCACAATGGCAACAACTATGCTTTTGGAGGCTTTCTGCGTCTTGCTTTCTGCTGACGCTCCTGGCTTCAGCGTAGCTGCTGTCGTCGAAGCTGCTGTCGTCGAAGCAGCTGTCTCTGTCGTTGGTATATTTGTTGTTGTTGCTGTAATCTTAATTGAAGTTGACTTCGTAGTTGTGCTGGGAGTGGTTGTCGTTGATGGTGTTGATGTTGTTGAAGTTGCAGATGTCGTTGTAGACATTGTAGTGGTTGGTGGCGATGTAGCTGGCGATGTAGCTGGCGGTGAAACAGGGCTAGTAACTCTTTCTGTCTTGGTTGAGGGAGTCGCAGTATAAGGCGTCGTAGTTTGAGGAATAGTTGTTGCTGGTGATTCAGTTGATGTTGATTTAGTTGTCGTCATCGCTACTGTTGTAACTGGGGACTTCGTAACGGGTAATGTCGTTTGAGGGGACGTTGAGTCTGGAAATACGATTAAGAATGGCATTTTACACCAGCAAATATATCTTCAATAGTTCAAATTCAATGAAAAAGGACATTTCTTGTAAAGTGCACTTTGAAATTTTTGTCATTACAGTAAATAATATTCCTAATTGGTGGAATAACTTGTTTTCACTTTATAAGTAATAGCAAACATGCAGCTATCATCATTAATTAATCATAGTGATATTTAATGATTCTGTTTCATTTGGGGAGGACAAAACATGCGCTAACCAAAAAACGATTATTATCATGACAAATCTGGGAGGGATTGGCTCTTTTTTTTAAAGGTTTTACTCAAAGGAATAAATTGTTTACTGATATCCTGGAAGAAATGTGTTAATAAAATGAAATAAGAATTTCCTGTCACAGAATAAGCTGCATGTTTTGATGTAGTAACATCCTCCAAAGCAGCTGATACCTGACTGGAAGAAACTAATTGGTTTTCCTTTCTCTTACTCTATTACTCTTTTAACAATACTATTAAGAGATCACATTAAACCATTTTTCGATTATAATTTTTGGACACAATATACCATGAAAAAAAATCAATTTTATATTAATTTGTGTTAAGTAGTAGATTAACTTACTATAACACTCTACACTGGCATCTTCCGAATGATTACAGTTGTGCGTCCCTAAGCCTCGGCTTTGGCAATCCCCAATGCTCGTCTCATTTCCTAAACACTCCACATTGTCCAACCAGATCCGACCTTTGCCCTTCCCATAAGCACTTCCATTGATAGCACGGCCATGTTGGTATCCGAGTTGCTGACAGACGACGGTGGCGTCTGTTTTGTCCCAGTAGTCGTCACACACTGTTCCCCATTCGTTTGGCCCAGATACGTACACTTCCACTCGACCGCGGCCATTTGAACTGTCACTCGAAAGGGCACTCCCCAAACGGACCTGAGTAAGAGCTGAAAGAAAGTAGGCGGAATTGGTTATTTTAATATGTCTGCATAAAACTGATTTTGAAAAACTGTTTAGTGCCCGCGATGTTGATGCCCATGATGTTGATGCTGAATCTATCCATTATTGATTTTGCTTTGGACAAATGGGCATTTTCATTATTTTATCACTGTTTGATAGGGCATTCTGTATCATTGCCGAGTTGGATAAAAACCTTTAGGACAATTTGGAGGACAAAAAGTCAACATCCAAGTAAAACGTTCCTGAAACCCTGTCCCCTCAGTGATGTTCCAGGCAATCACAAGAAACAAGTTCAGATACAGCTTTTTTGAAGTGGAGGGGTGTATTTATGATTTGGCAATTCCTGTACAGTAACTGTGTAATTGTATTGAAAATATATCATCAAATGGTAAAAGAGTTAGTCATACTCAGAGTGGTGCTATATGTGTCTTCTCGGTTACACAATCTTTAAAATGTTGTTTTTAGCCGCAGTCATCAACATTACAGCTATTTCAGGGCAACCTGTAACTAATCAGATCTTATCCAGGAAGATCCAGATTAGAATAGGTCTTCAGCAACCCATGTTTGCCATAATGGGCGACAATGCTTGTCAGAATCGGGCATCAAAGGCAGCTACCAGAATTGGGTGGTCAGGCTTGCTGACTTGGTTGATGCATGTCGTCGCAAATTGCATAGATCAAAGCTCATGATGTCAGTCACTGGATTGTTTGGTCCAGACTCGATTATTTACTGCCTGCCGTCATATAGCTTGGATATTGCTGAGTGCGGCGTTAAACAACAAACAAAGTAATCAGGTCTGGGTCAAACTAGAAGCTATCGCATAAACTTAACGATTTTGGGCATATTGGGTACAAATGCAAACCAGGTCACACATTGTAACCACCTGACCTACCCTTATTAATTTTCTCTTCGGGCAACAGTGGATTGCGAGAGATCTTACTTCTGCGGACACCCCACAGGGTTGGGACCCATGCTCGCTGATGGGTGCTGATAAATCATTAGTGGTGATCAATACTTCACCATTTCCTCTATTCCATTGGTTATTCCTGTTTGTGTTTTCAATTATTTCTGAATAGTATCAATCTCGACAAAATCAGATCTTAGTTCTCGCAACGATTCATCAGACCAATCAGATGGTTGCCTACCAGATCAGGAAAGTGACAGTTGGAATGTGTTTTCTAATCATGCAACCTCGAAGACGTTAACACGGGGTATTCCGATTGACAATTACGTAAGTAGTGGCGTATAGCATGAGTAAGCTGCTTTCTGACTGGCTAAGGTCGTTTCTTGTTAGTCATTTCATTGGTTGGTCATAGTTTGTCATTCAATGACATGTAATGGAATGTCCTAAGATCTTTGTTTAGCGGTTGCGAGAACTAAGATCTGATTTTAATGAGATTGGAATAGTATGGTCATTATATATATTTCACAAATAAAGACCTTCGTTTTCAGAGATAGTTGGTGAAATTACCTATCATCTTCATGAGGCAAGAGCGTCCACTAGCCTTTTCATCAAAGTCTTGTTTCCACCCTAGCCACATCAAGCCCACTTTCCTGTGCTAAATATGATTGGACTATCGCACATATCGATAGTCCAATCAGAGAATGTTGCACAAAATCAACACTCACGACTTGTAACACCTTCGTATAAAAGTGATTTATCCCTGCTTATCTTTGTTGACACGATTATGATTTTTCGTCTTTTAAACCCCCCAACAATTGCCTACGTTTATGTGTCAGGGATGAATTGGCAAATGTTTCGTTATCTGATCAACTAGGTCATCACCTATAATAGTCGCCATCTTTGTGAAGCAATTCGAGATAAGAACAGCGATCTGATTGGATATTGCGTTTTCATGAGAAGGGGCACAACTAGTGATCTACGCGAGGTGACACCAAGGTTGAGACAAGAAAAGTGGCAAGGGTAGAAACTAGGCTTTAATATAGTTTGGTGGACCCACTTGCCTTGGGAAGATGATAACCTATATGTACTCATATTAATCTTAGTGTTGAGTGGTTCTAGGTTGACACACCTTTGATCAGTATTTCTGTAATATCACCATGTGCCACCTTGATATAGGAGCGAGCCCGAAGTGAAGCAGGTCATAGATGCATAACACTTCTGTGAAACCCACGAGCACGGGTATTGGGGCTAACAAACAATCGAACCCCAGATCATAGGTTTCTGGCACACCTAAGGGACGCAACTCTGCCATATCAAACTGAAGTTCTGTACTCACCAATTTCACTTGTGTAGCATGTAGTATAGGCGTCACCGCTACAGAGGTAGGACAGTAGTGATGTATTGAAACCCGAGTTCAGACAGGTTAGCAGACTCTGTTCCTTGCCATTACAGAACGCCCCGCTGAGCAGGTAGTTCCGACGTGGCAGGTTCGGTATGGTGTTTCGATCTGGAAGGCCGTCTTTGAACCCATTTTTCAGACTTCTGCAGAATACCTTCGCATCACTCGTGCTCCACGCCCAGGAGCACACAGCGCCCCAGTCCCCGTCGTATCCCATCTCAACTCGACCGTAGCCGTTGACCTTGCTGCCGAAGAGTCGATACTCAACGCCTGTGGAGGTCGTAAAATGAAACGTGTCATATCAGTGATGTGATATGATATGAGAAAGACAAAAATTCTGACAAGTTAATCCACATTGATTTGCTGTATGTAGCTCACTTTTTTTCCTTGTTTCGATAAAACATTTTTGGTCAAACTATCAGAGCATGTGGTTGAAATAGACAAAAATGTGACAAAGCATATATTTTAATGTGGTCCTTTTTAAAAATATGACAAGGTAGACACAATTTTATGGATAACAACTTCCTTAAAACTGTAAAGAGGGACGTTTCAGTATAGATCCTTATACTGTTGTCAAGCAAGACTTGCTTGACAATGGTATAAGGATCTATACCAAAACGTCGCTTGCTTGACAACGGTATAAGGATCTATACAGAAATGTCGCCTTTTACATTATAAAAGAAGTGTCTACCTTATCATTCTAAACTTCTAATCAATGCCTATCAAACAATTCAATTTAAAAATATGGTTGGTTTGATTTAAGAAAATAATAGAAGAAACGTCCATGCAGATTCAAATGGTTCTGTGAAGTGCTGCTTTGAATTATCTTAAAACGCCAGGTCAAGTAGCTTCTTCTCTTCCCACACCTCTCTACTTTGGTGTATCTATTTATCACTGCAATTACAGTAAATCACTTCATTGAATTCTTTTTAGTATAATCCACATTTGTTCGGTAAGTTGATCATTAAGCCCATTAATATATAAAACTGACTAAAATTGGACAACACAAACAAGTTTCAAAATTTGAGCAGCTTGGTGAACGAGTATGGTTTTACACCGCTTTTGGCAATAGCAAGGGTGAGTTGGGGGGGGGGGGGGAGGGAGAGTTTACAAGAGAAAGTGGTTTCACACATTACCATATTTTCTTGAGTATAGTGTGCACTTTTTTTTTCAGAAAATGAAGCAGCGATGAGGGGGGTACACATTTTTTTCCCCATGGGTTAACAAAACAACCAGCATGTATACTGGAAATCGAGTGTCAACAAATGGAATAAAATACCGATACATTCGTCTGTACTATTTTTATATTTATATGAACATTATTACATTAAATGAACATGGAATACTATTATATGAATTGTTACATATGTATATTTACTTATATCCTGTTAACATAGGCTCTAACATCATTCAAATATGTCATTTTAGACGAAATCCTGCGAGAGGCAATCTCACCGCTACTTACAGATACACCAACTTGACTGACGCCATCTGCGACTTGTTGTTGATGAAGAACGAATAAATATATATTATATCCAATATGTCGACCCATAAGAAGTTGAAATTGTTGTTTTTTGTCCTGTTATAGTCAATGTTTTAATTCTTTTCATTGTGGAAGCGTGGCTTCAGCATGTGACTCAATCCAAGTCACTGATTGGTCTGACCAGTGTCCAGTCAAAACATCCCATACCCCGTGAATGACTCATTATATTGCAGTGGTATACGGTGTACCCATGTGGAGAATTGAACCCAGGCTTAGGGCATGACCAGCGAACACTTTAACCACTCTGCTGCACCAATGTGAGGAGAAACTCTCATTAAAACTTAAGTTTAATCATAACGCACCTGTTCCATTGTAGCAGATGACACCAGCGTCATTGGAGTCATAGTTGCAGTTCTGTTTGTCCGCTGTCTCCTGATGTGGACATTTGTCAAGGGAGGTCTCATTGCCAAGGCATTGGAAATTCCTCATGAGGATTGCATTAGTGTTCTTGACAATGTGGAGGTAGGCCACCCCGCCCTTGTAACCCAGACTCCTGCAGGCTACGCTGGCGTCCATGTCGTCCCACCCCTGCATGCACACCCGGCCCCACACTCCATTCTTGTTGACTTCTACAATGCCGTGGTAGTCCTTGCTCAGACCGTCGGAAGCCAGTCGAAGCTGGAAGCCTGGAAACATATGTCATACTATGTTGGTTTGTTGTTTAACACAGCACTCAGCAATATTCAAGCTACATGACGTTGGCCTGTAAATAATCGAGTCTGGACAAAACAATCCAGTGATTGGCATCATAAGCATCAATCTAGTTTGTTTGTTTGTTGTTGTTTAACGACGCACTCAACAAAATTACAGCTATATGACGTTGGCCTGTAAATAATCAAGTCTGGACCAGACAATCCATTGACTGACATCATGAGCATCGATCCACGCAATTGGGAAATAAGAACATGCTTCAACCAAGTCAGTGAACCTGACCACCCAATCCCATTAGTTGCTTCCTTCAACAAGCATAGTCGCCTTTTATGACCAGCATGGTTGCTGAAGACCTAATCTCTACCCAGGTCTTAATGAGGGTGTAATAAAATGGGATGATATTCACCCCTTTCGAACTACACCAAACAGTGATTCAAATTGTAAAGTTTATATTTTAGTATTTATTTGTTGTTTAATTCAATATCAACAATAATCCAGTTATATCACAGCAAGCTGTAATTAACTAAGTTTGGATCAGACAAACTGGTGGTTGATATTATCAACAACGTCCCATATATTCAGCACTGATGAATACTGGTTGCATTTACCCAAGGAAGGTTGATATACTAGTATACATAAGACCTCACAAATGACGAGAATGTCTGTACTGGGGGAAGAGATACTTGACAACAGTTCCCTCCGAGCGCCATCTTGAGGCACATCACTGTGCAGCAGGGATTGCAGTCAACGTTCTTCCAAGATGATCACTCGCCTCATATATAAGCTTTCAAAATCAGATATGACAAAGCCTGATATTATGAGCTATGAAAATCAGTGTTATTGTTCGAATGAACAGCAAAGTCATGTTCTACCGAACTGGGACAGACGTTCCTTAATGCGTCTTCTGTGGAGCGTCTGTCTGTAAATAATCAAATCCAGACATCATGAGCATTGGTCCACACGATTAGGATACAATGATGTGCAAGTCTCCGAGTCTGACCACCGATCCTCTTATCGCCTCTTATGACAAGCAAAGGTTGCTGGGGACCTGTATTCTTGCCCTGAATCCCCATGGGTTGTGTCCATGAAAGAGACCGCAGCATAGCCTTCAGCGAGACTATCAACACTTTAAATAACCACTAGATGAGCCAGCCAATGGTTGACATACTAACCTGTATCATTGAATGGTGTCTTGGCACAGTACACAGATGCGTACGTCCCTGTAGTGCAAGTTCCTTCTTTGCTCAGTGTGCAGTCCTTGATGTCATTTTCCGCCCCTTTACATTTAATGCTTGTGAACACGATTGGTCCGGAGATGTTGCCGAACACAGATCCACCAACAGCCCGTCCATGGGTGAAGTTCATACCGAGGCTCCTGCACGCGACAGTTGCCGCGGTATTGTCAAGACCTGTGTCGCATACTCCGACCTTTTTCCCGTCGTCAAATATCTCTAGTCCTCCCTTGGTAGCACCAAATCTCTGGTTGAGTCGAGCTAAAGAAAAAAAATATTGATTTACATGAATTTGTGTGACTAAGAATACAGAATATGTGTCAGCGCATTTGTAAAGGGTGAGTGAATGTTGGTTTGCACCGTAGTATTCAAGGTAGTAAAGACCTGTAAATAGTCAAGTCTGGGCCAAGCTAACCCGTCGTACAGATGAACATGCCGTCGGGCTGCGATGACCTGGTCAGAAATTTTGACCAACCGGTTATCATTTAAGTCTGTAAATCATTAAACTACAAGAGTATTGTTGGCCCATTCTGATGAAGCTGAGCTGTCAGCAAGACTGGGATAACAGTTAACCAACACAAATATTAAACACGAACCATGGGTGGATACAGCTTTTTTGAAAAGGGGGGGTGCACAATTAAGATCTATTTATTGTCTTTGGTGGTAAATTATACAGAAATAAAGATTTTTTTCGAAATAAAAAGGGGGGGTGCAGGGGTGCGCACCCCCCCTCTGTATCCGCCCATGCGAACACATGATCCTCAAGGAGACGGAAAGATATTGCGATCTTACCACTCTTGTAGCAGAAGACTGAAGCATCGTCCTTGTGGGAGGTGCAGGGCAGTGTGAAGGGCCAGCCGAACGAGGGGGCGGAGTATAGGTCCTTGAAGCCTCGGTGGGGGCATTCGTGGAAATACTTCTCATTGCCGGTGCACTGCAGATGACTCAGCCAGATTGGGCCAGACCCTTGCCCATAACGTGCTCTGGAGATGGCAACGCCGTCGCTGAAGTTGAGCTGGCGACAGAAGACATTGGCTTCCTTGGCGTCCCAATAGTTATCGCATATGGTGCCCCAAACACCGCCAATGCGGATTTCTGCTCTCCCATAGAAGTTGCTACCTCCTCCAGCAACTCGGTACGCAACACCTGTAATAGTGATCACTGGTACATAGGATTGGAATCGTGCTTGGAACGGGAGGATTGTGATTATATTCTGATTTCTTATATTCTCATTATACTTCTCAAGTTTTGATAGGGATAATAATATGTGAAGATAAAAATATCCCTGTCATGGTATAGGCAGTCGGCCCACTCTGTCATCAAAGGCTGTTTAATATGTGAGGTTAAACATGGCTGACAAGTACCTTTATTCTATATGCTGCTCGTTTTGGAGGTGAGGTGAAATGGGATGTAACTTCACGTTCAAGATTGTTGCACTTGTATAGCGACATGCATGCATGTGCATGTGTTTGTGTTTGTGTGTGTGGCTGCTTGTACTAGTCCGGACTAATGGCACTTTCATAGTGCTAGCTCACTGAGATACCATGCCGCAGTTTGACATAAACACCCCCCTCCCACACAGTATACTGACTCCAAGCCGACCAGTCCTTCTTTAAGCCCCATACTGCCAAGCGCCAGACAGGGCAACAACAAGTACCATCTTTTTTTGTATGGAGCAGACGGTGATCAAGCTCCAGACCTCTACCACTAGACGATGGAGGCGGTTGGCTGTTTTGGACTTATGACATGTTCAATTACTGGTAAAATAACCGAAAAAGCTCATAACTGAAGGTGGCTTGTGTGGGTTCATCATACCTTGTTTTTTAAATATATAACCTGAACGACTATGAAATACCTGGGTCTCATACCACAAAGCGATCTTAGCTCTACCACATTCATAAGTGTATGTTAAAGTGTGAGAGTTATGATCATCTTAGTGCTAAGATCATTTTGCGGAACAGGGCGCCGTTGTACAAAACAACCTTAGCGCTACGACTGTCGTAAGTCTATGTTAAGGTATGGGAGTTACGATCACCTTAGCGCTAAGATCACTTTGTACAACGGCACCCAGGTCCTTGTTCATTAACGTACCTGAGTCGTTGTAGCACAAAACGGCTGCAGTGTGTTTGTTGGAGCAGTTGCCCAAGTTGGTCCGGTCGAGATGGGGGCAGTCCAGCAGGTCGTTCTCATCACCCGTGCAGTTAAATGAGTTCAGCCAGTAGGGTCCCAATTGGCGCTGTGTGGAGTATGTGCCGAAGTAGGAATGCTTGTACGCCATCCCACCTGTATATCCCCGAGCTCCACACACCACTGTGGCATCTTCGTCGTCCCAGTCTTTGCTACAGACCCGCCCCTCAACACCATAGTGGGTCACACGAAGCTGGCCGGAGTGCTTCTGGTCATTGTTGATGGTCAGTGTGTAATCTAAAGATGTGGTAAAGGGATGAAATATGTGTTTGATATAATGATGGGTAATGATGAAAGGTACGATACAAAATATAGTAATATGAATTAATTAGGTGGTCTTTAACCATTTCAGAAGAATAGATCCAGCTGTTACCCTTTTCATTAATAGTGTACTTATAAGTGAATGATTATTTTCGTGGTGTTTTCGAGAGGCTGTAATCTTGTTTTTCGATATGGAATCTCTATTCAAAGTCCACTTTTGATGAAATTAAGCATGCTTTCTTGGAGATAGGTTTGGTGATTAAGGAAGAGTTTGGTATCTCACTCTTTAAGTGCTTTCAGCATACTATATTGTATGGCGTTTAGCACTATATAAGTGGCTAAATTTCTACTACTACTACTACTACTACCACACCACCATTATTATTATCATTATTATTATTACTATTATTATTATTATTATTATAATTATTATTACTACTCACTGTTACTAACAAATTCCCGTGGGTCGTCTGAACACACCACTGAGGCGTACATTTTGCTGGCACAGTCTTCAGTAACCATACACTCGGATATAGACTCCTCCTCTCCCGTGCATCGCAGTGTCATGTTGGTGATGATGTCTTTGTTGTAGGAGTTTGTGTTGCCGTAGGCGGAGCAGCAGATGGAACGTCCGTCCTTGAAGCCCAGACTCTGGCACACGACGCGGGCGGACATGTCGTTGAAGCCGGTGTCGCAGACATAATGCCAATCTCCCCCTTGGTTCCACAACACGCCGCCATGTTGAATTGAGCGTCCCACACCTGTGCTCAGCTTCACTGGAAATGAAGATAAAATGATAGAGGTGAGGTGAGGTGAGGTGAGGTGAGGTGAGGTGAGGTGAGGTGAGGTGAGGTGAGGTGGGCCGGCCGGGTTTAACGTCAAGATTATAGCACTTACATAGCGATGTGGGTGGGCGTGCGTGCGTGCGTGCGTGCGTGCGTGCGTGCGTGCGTGCGTGCGTGCGTGCGTGCGTGCGTGCGTGCGTGCGTGCGTGCGTGCGTGCGTGCGTGCGTGCGTGCGTGCGTGCGTGCGTGCGTGCGTGCGTGCGTGCGTGCGTGCGTGCGTGCGTGCGTGCGTGCGTGCGTGCGTGCGTGCGTTGGTTGGGGTGGGGTGTTTGTGCGGCGTCGAGTTCTGCAAGGCTGGAAACTATATAGCCTTATTTAGATGAAGGAATAGACAAATAATCAGATGAACAGTTCTCAACACGTGTGCCCAAATGAGTTATTTTGTTATTATTTCTTGCAAAAAACATTCTGACTTGTTTTTCCTAGGCACGTACCTTTAGTATAGCAAAAGACACCAGCGTCTCTGCTGTGATCCGAGCAAGTCCTTGATGTCGATATGGCCCAACCCTCATGGGGACACTGATTCAGCGTTTTCTCCCCACCGTCACATCGGAGGTTCGACTCCCACACTGGTCCTTTGGCTGTATCATTGTAGGACCCGTAGAATGTGTCCCCATCGTCAAACCCGAGGTTCTTACAGAACACCTTGGCCTCTCTCTTGTCCCAGTACCGGTCGCAGAGTGTCCCCCACTGTCCATCTACGGCCACCTCCACTCGACCCCACTGGTCACCCCCCGAGGACAGGCGGTAATACAGACCTGGAAAGTCAAGGGAGGTCAGTGTTGACATAAAAATTGTTACATATGTGAGGGATGTTATAGTACTGTACGACCACGACAGTGGTGTAGCTTATGTCTTGCTTACTGCAGCATATGGCATCCACTCACCCACTTAACACTGCTGGAAACAATGAAAGCGTGATTATTGCTACACCACATCAGCAATCTTACAGCTATTTGCGGTGAACAGAATCAATATTGTACCATATATATTTAAGAGTCCGCGAGTTATTTTGGTAAACTATTTTAATGTTAATTTAAATAAATAAAAGAATAGTCATCCTAATGTGGGGTAAAAATCTAATTGGACATATTTAGTAGACATTTACCACTTTGGTGAAAGCAACGAGCATGGGTTTGATGCTGACAGACATAAAACATAATTAGGACAAATCGGAGATTCAAACAAACAATCACAAAGATCTTGATAGCGTAGGGATGCAAGATTACAAAGATAATTGCAGAGATTTTGCCCTCAGTGCCAAAGTGATACAACTTACAAAATTACACAAAGAACAAGGTTTTTCAACACTTTTACTACCTTCATTATTGAAGCACAGTGCTCCACCAAAATGGCCGCTGGTGCATTTTGTGACGTTGCCCCATCCAATGTGAGGACAATCAATCAGCGAGGTCTCGTTGCCAGTACAGTTGACCTGGGACGTCCAGTATGGGCCAGTGTAGTCGAAGTAGGAGAAGGACGACCTGTAGTGGCTGTAGGCCACGCCCTTACTGTAACCCAGGGTGGTACAGACAATGGCTGCATCTGGGTCATCCCAGTTGTCGCTGCAGACGCGACCTTCAACCTTTGCATACGTAATGGCCACTTGGCCGGTGTAGGTCGACCCCCCAGTGAGGCTGATGGTGTAGTCTGTCGAGTGGAGATTGTGTCTTAGTGTTATGGAAGAAATATACGACTGTTTGACTACCATGTGTTCAGCCTACTTACGATTTGATAACCACATGTCCAGCCTACTTACTGTTTGACTACGTGTTCAGCCTACTCACTGTTTGATGACCACATGTCCAGCCTACTTACTGTTTGACTACGTGTTCAGCCTACTCACTGTTTGATGACCACATGTCCAGCCTACTTATTGTTTGACTACCACATGTTCAGCCTACTCACTGTTTGATGACCACATGTCCAGCCTACTTACTGTTTGACTACCACATGTTCAGCCTAAGACTTACTTGTCGACGACAACGTGATAGGCCTGCTTACTGTTTGACTACCACATGTTCAGCCTACTTACTGTTTGACTACCACATGTTCAGCCTACTTACTGTTTGACGACCACATGTTTATCCCAAGACTAACTGTTTCACTACGTGTTCAAACTATTTACCGTTTGACAACCACGTGTCCAGCCTACTTACTATTTGACTACTACATGATCAGCCTACTTATTGTTTGACTACCACATGTTCAGCCTACTCACTGTTTGATGACCACATGTCCAGCCTACTTACTGTTTGACTACCACATGTTCAGCCTAAGACTTACTTGTCGACGACAACGTGATAGGCCTACTTACTGTTTGACTACCACATGTCCAGCCTACTTACTGTTTGACTACCACATGTTCAGCCTAAGACTTACTTGACGACGTCAACGTGATAGGCCTACTTACTGTTTGACTACCACATGTCCAGCCTACTTACTGTTTGACTACCACATGCTCAGCCTAAGACTTACTTGTCGACGACAACGTGATAGGCCTACTTACTGTTTGACTACCACATGTTCAGCCTACTTACTGTTTGACGACCACATGTTTATCCCAAGACTAACTGTTTCACTACGTGTTCAAACTATTTACCGTTTGACAACCACGTGTCCAGCCTACTTACTATTTGACTACTACATGATCAGCCTACTTATTGTTTGACTACCACATGTTCAGCCTACTCACTGTTTGATGACCACATGTCCAGCCTACTTACTGTTTGACTACCACATGTTCAGCCTAAGACTTACTTGTCGACGACAACGTGATAGGCCTACTTACTGTTTGACTACCACATGTTCAGCCTACTTACTGTTTGACGACCACATGTTTATCCCAAGACTAACTGTTTCACTACGTGTTCAAACTATTTACCGTTTGACAACCACGTGTCCAGCCTACTTACTATTTGACTACTACATGATCAGCCTACTTATTGTTTGACTACCACATGTTCAGCCTACTCACTGTTTGACTACCACATGTTTATCCCAAGACTATTTCACTGCGTGTTCAACCTATTCACTGTTTGACAACGTGTCCAGGCTACTTACTAATTGACTACTATGTGATCAGTGCCTACTTACTGTTTGACGACCACATGTTCAGCTGACTCGCTGTTTGACGACCATGTGTTCATCCGACTCACTGTTTGACAACCACATGTTCATCCAAAGACTAACTGTTTCACCACGTGATCAGCCGACTTACTGTTTGACAGAGTGTTGTTGTAGCAGGCCACGGAGGCGTAGTTCTGTCTGTAGCACAGGGAGGTGCGCTGCCGAGAGGTGAACTTGCAATCCCGAACTGACTTCTCCTTGCCGGTACACCTTAGCTCCGATATGACAGCGTCGTCAAAGTTGAAGCCGTAGGGGTTGCAGCAAAGGGCCAGTCCACCAGTCATCCCTAGTTCCCGACATATCACGGCTGTGGACATACAACCAACAGACTGTGTAACAATCTAATCTGTCTCATATTCAGAGAAAAGGCAAGATAGTCTCTATTATATAACTATCATTATCATTACATAGTTAAGGTCCATTTTTTGAAAATTGTTTTGGTTTGGTTTCATTGGAGGTTGAAATACATATAAAAATAAACATGCCAAAACAATTTCTAATTGATCTCTTAAACGTAGTGTCGGAAAATTGGATTTAAAAACAATGAAATGTAAGAAACGTAACTACATGTATTTTCAGAGAGCCATTTACAATTGTCTCTTTCAGAGGGGCATTTTGCAATGAGTAATGAACCCGAAAATGAACCAATAAAGAATTATCAAAATCATTTAAGGGGCTTTAACACCTGTGATAAGAATTACCACTGCTTTATGTTTGTTAAACAGAATGATTCAAAGCAAAACAATAACAACATATGCCAGCTTATATTACCACACTGGAGATAACACTGTGTGGTACATCTTTATGTCACTGTAGAACTATATGTAAGAATATTCTAGAAATAGTTTCAAAGTTATGTTAATTCTTTGAAACTTTGATTTAAATGTTACATTTTATTGCTGCAATCATGGTGATGGAGAAATTTGTAGTTCAAAACAAATGTAGAGCTTTGATGATACTCAACTCTGATGTAACGTTTAATCATTATGAAGGTGACTTTCTCTGATGGGAACGGTGTTTCACTCACTTGCGTCTTGGTTGTCAAAGTCTTGAGAGCATATGGCACCCCACACTCCGTTGTTGTAGACTTTGACTATACCGTTTGTCTTGCTGTCTCCTCGTTCTATCCGAACTGGAAATTTAAACAATTCTCTCAAATATCTGACACGCATGACACACCTTCCGCAGAGTACATAGCTCATGCACATTAAAGAGCTCTCACACATTACCTAGTTTACAAGTATACAGTAGCTCACACGTAGAACTTAGCTTACATGTATTACGTAGTTCACACACATTACATAGCTTAAGAACATAATGTCACTAGCTCACACATATTGTCTAGCTTACACATATTTCGTAGATCACACAGGTCACATACATTACATACCTTAAACACATTCCGTAGCTCAGCAAATTACCTAGCTAACACACAGTTTAGCTATGCAGTATGTATACACGCATAATGTAGCTTACACACATTACACAGTTTGCACATACTGAGACGTTCGCACACATCACGTAGCTTACACACATTACACAGTTTGCACATACTGAGACGTTCGCACACATCACGTAGCTTACACACATTACACAGTTTGCACATACTGAGACGTTCGCACACATCACGTGGCTTACACACATTACACAGTTTGCACATACTGAGATGTTCGCACACATCACGTAGCTTACACACATTACACAGTTTGCACATACTGAGACGTTCGCACACATCACGTAGCTTACACACATTACACAGTTTGCACATACTGAGACGTTCGCACACATCACGTAGCTTACACACATTACACAGTTTGCACATACTGAGACGTTCGCACACATCACGTAGCTTACACACATTACACAGTTTGCACATACTGAGACGTTCGCACACATCACGTAGCTTACACACATTACACAGTTTGCACATACTGAGACGTTCGCACACATCACGTGACTTACACACATTACACAGTTTGCACATACTGAGACGTTCGCACACATCACGTGACTTACACACATTACACAGTTTGCACATACTGAGACGTTCGCACACATCACGTAGCTTACACACATTACACAGTTTGCACATACTGAGACGTTCGCACACATCACGTAGCTTACACACATTACACAGTTTGCACATACTGAGAAGTTCGCACACATCACGTAGCTTACACACATTACACAGTTTGCACATACTGAGACGTTCGCACACATCACGTAGCTAACACACATTACACAGTTTGCACATACTGAGACGTTCGCACACATCACGTGGCTTACACACATTACACAGTTTGCACATACTGAGACGTTCGCACACATCACGTAGCTTACACACATTACACAGTTTGCACATACTGAGACGTTCGCACACATCACGTGACTTACACACATTACACAGTTTGCACATACTGAGACGTTCGCACACATCACGTAGCTTACACACATTACACAGTTTGCACATACTGAGACGTTCGCACACATCACGTAGCTTACACACATTACACAGTTTGCACATACTGAGACGTTCGCACACATCACGTAGCTAACACACATTACAAAGTTTGCACATACTGAGACGTTCGCACACATCACGTAGCTTACACACATTACACAGTTTGCACATACTGAGACGTTCGCACACATCACGTAGCTTACACACATTACACAGTTTGCACATACTGAGACGTTCGCACACATCACGTAGCTTACACACATTACACAGTTTGCACATACTGAGACGTTCGCACACATCACGTAGCTTACACACATTACACAGTTTGCACATACTGAGACGTTCGCACACATCACGTAGCTTACACACATTACACAGTTTGCACATACTAAGACGTTCGCACACATCACGTGACTTACACACATTACACAACATCATTGCTGGCACACGACACGTAGCACACAGATTTGTATATCTCAAATTAAAAACTGTTTTTCTTTTCTTTAACATATTTATCTCCTCTCGTGACCTTATAAAGTTGACATTTTCAACCATGGCAGCACCACTCATCGAAATAATAACTATTTATAGACACCTGATCGGCATATACTGACAGTCACCACGTGGCCAGAAAAGACATGGTTCATACTGAGTTTCAGTCCCTAAATTTACGGCCATACAGATTTAAGGCCCTAATAATGATAAACTTATAAAATCATTGCCATGTACATTTGTGCCATTGCGGCAAAGTGTGATATAACCATGGGGTTTGAATGGCGAGGCAGAGTTGATGTGAATGACATGCTCAAGTGTAGACAGGTACCCTGTCCTTTGCCTCCTAACAGCTCAATTGTGGCGATGAGTGCAAGCGCTCTAGGACAGGCAAACCAGTCTAGCTCGAGTGAGGACAGGAAGCAACTCTAATGTCAAAACAATTGCCTTCTTAGCAGTCAAGCAGATGACGATACATTTTCCTTTGGAAATGTGAAGTAAAAAAATAACAAATCTTTTTAAAAAGCGAAATTTCAAAATGAACTTGCCTTTGATTGTTTATGTCCAATTCAAGGCCTTTGTAAAGCATTTTGTCTGAATTCCAGCCTTTTCAAGCTAATCTTGCACCTAAGGCCTTTTTAAGAACGTCTAAATTCCAGACCTTTCAAGGTCTGTGTGAACCATGAAAGACAAACTGCCATACCTCCTCGGAAGCAGCTGACGGACACAGCGAATGTGGCTGGGATGTATCTGTTTCTGTCTGGGTTCCACTCCACCCGACACTGGTGAACTGCGGCCTCGGAGCCCGTGCAGTTGACGTAGGATGCCAAGATGTTGCCATTGAGGCTGGATGAGGATGGGGAACGCCACAACACCTGCCCTGCAACCATGCCGATGCTGCGACAGAAAACGGACGCGTCCTTGTCGTCGAACTCGAGGCGGGAAATGTAGCCCCACTGACCGTTGATGTTGAGCTGGGCAATCCCTTTGTCCCCCACCGACCCGGGAGCCATCCTGTATTGAACACCCTCTGAAATGGACAAACAGTTCCATACTAGAACATGGCAATGATATTTGACATATAAATATGAGCCTTGAAGGCATGGTGACCATGAATGTATTTCAAGAGGCCACTACTGGGATCAGGTGGTCAGAACTGCTGACTTGGTTGATGGACTTGCTGACTTGGTTGATGCAAGTCAACACATCTATATTGCGTAGATCGATGCTGATGATGTAATGACTAGTTTTTCTGGTCCAGATTCCTATTTTTTGCTGTCGGCATATAGCTAGAATATTGCTGAGTGCGGTGTCAAACAAAGAAAGAAAGAAACATAACCTTAAATTAAATACCGAATATAAGAGGTGAGGTGAGGTGAGGTGAAATTGGGTTTAATGTTGCCTCCAAGATTAATGCACTTATATAGCGACGTGCATGCATGTGTGTGTGTGCGGCTGCTTGTACTAGTCCGGACTGAGACCGATTTATGGGGCTACCTCACTGAGATACCATGCCACAGTTTAACATGAATACCTCACTCAGACACAGTATACTGACTCTGAGCTGACCAGTCCTTGTTTTAGCCCCTTAAAGCTGAGCACCAGACAGGGTAACAACAAGCACCATCTTTTAACGTCTTTTGGTATGACGTGGCCTGGGATCGAACCCTTTGACCTTCCGCTCTCCGGGCGGACGCTCTACCACTAGTGAATGCTGCCGGCTTACCTCCAGAGTTGCTACACAACACAGCTGCCCCACGCCTTGACTCCGCGCACCCGTGCTGTGTGTCGAAGACATCATGGCTGCAATCATTGAAGTTGGTATCATCGTCTCTGCAGACCACATTCCCCATTAGCAGTGGCATGCCTTGGGGGATGGCTGAGCCCGGGATTGCGACTCCCCCAACATATCCGAGCTGCCGGCATGCTGAAATTGCTTCAGTATCATTCCAGTTCTCTCCACAAATGGCTCCCCAGATGCCAAATCGGCTGACATTGACCATGCCTGTGAATCCATTCTTGGGAAGACTGATTGCAATATCTGCAATGGAAGCCACGTGATTGTGAGCAAATGTGTAGAACATAAAAGCAAAAAATGATTGTTCAACGTTATCAAAGAAATCTCTACCAAAATCAGAGTCCTTTGTATGATTCCAACTGTATCGTGACCATGTGTTTCTGAATCAAATAGTAAGCATATCCTGCCACACCAGAGTCACCCATCACAAACACATGCAAAGGCAAGTCAATCGTTCACTCCAAAAACACGGGATCATATATAGTCAAAATAGTTCACGTACATGTTCGGTCCATTATTCGTTAAAGAAAAACACTGGAGCAGTGGGGACAATTTTGCCAGTATTTAATGTTGTTTTGATTATAACTATTTTTCAGTTGTAATATTTCGAAGGCCAATGGGGTTCATCTTCACCCATTAGCACATGAATATATTTCAAAGCAAATGAGAACAGTTGTGGTTTATGTGCTTCTGAAACATGAATAAGAATATCATCACAACATTAACATCTGAGAATATTAAAATTAAATAACTAAATGCACCTTTTCACACTTTAACCAAATACAGTCAAGTCTCGTTAATCCGACAATCGTCTTTATCCGACGCTAATGATGAGAAGCGATTAAATCTGTGATATTTAGACCCGTTAATCCGACAGTTTTGCACTCTGAATCAGACACACCTAATTTGGCGAAATTCAGTCTCGTTAATCAGACACAGTGATCAGCATACTACCTGATCATCTGCCCGCGAGTACACAGCCCGTGTTTTATGCAAGACAAGTCGGCTGGTAGCTGCATATTACAACGGCTGCAGAGATAAACTTGCTTAACAATAAACAATTAATGCTTTAAATAAACAAAACAGGATAAATCACATGCTGAGATTCCCTCAATCTCATTAAAATCAGATACAAGTTCTCGCTAACGCCGAGGACATCCCATTACAGGTCACGTCAGAACGACCTTTTGCAAACTTTGACCGACCAATGGAAGTCGAAATTAGCCACTAAGAAAGCAGCTTTCAAAAAAGCAGCTTTCTTGAGCTTTGCGGCACCAGTTTCAAACTGGCGACTTCCATTCCAGACTATGCTTTAGAGTGAGTGAGTGAGTGAGTGAGTAAGTATGGTTTTACGCCGCTTTTAGCAATATTCCAGCAATATCATGGCGGGGGATAGGGCTTCAAAGAGTAATCGGGCACGGGCCGAGTTAAGATGTACTCGAGTCCAGTTTGAAGGACTCGAGTACTCGACCAAGGGAGATAACTCGAATTTGGTCGACTTTCACTTGTCTGTATGTAACTTTCTTTTTCATGAGTAATTAATTAAATCAAATAAAAGTGTCAATAGCTTTTCTTTTAGTTATTTTTTGAAACAATACACTTATTTACAAACATTTCATAAGGATACTTCAAGTTTTAAAAAGTACTTTATTTCTTGTTTAAAAGGGAGGTTTTACGAAAAAATTATACTGTCGCAGGCAGTAGACCTACTCATTCTAAATTAGCCTCGTAATGTTAATCATTATTAATTCAATATTTTCATAAGATATTTATAACTGGACATCACTTTATTGAATTTTAACTTTGTGTTACTGTATCTCATTCTAATCATATCTTCAAATGTCTTATAGAAGTCAAACTATAAATTTAGAAACCTAGTTATCTTTCAATGTTTTGTTTTCAATTAAGAAAAAGGTAAATACTGACTTGTGAATTTGTGATAACATTGAAATTGTTACTTTTAACTTATTATCTATATTTATTGACAATTTCCTTCGGCGCTGGCATCAAATGATCTTATTTATAATATAAGGTATACCTAAGAAGCCAGCCAATCACCAATCCCAACATACATCACGTGACGATCACGTTTCTGGAAATTTGAATATGTGTTCGCAACTTGATGACGTCATAAATTGGACCACTTTAGTTTTGAGAGGGAAGTGTCTAGTAAGTTACTCCCTATAGATGTAGCTGGACTACGCAGATAAACACAGTGGCTGAACGATAACATCCAAAAGAGTGAGAGATATGACAATCGGTATTAGAAGAAAAGGTACAGATAATCGAGCATTGTGAGAATATACGGGAATTAACAAACTTAACCCACCTGTTCGTAAAATGGACTCACCAACATTTCCGAGGTCGGATTTTATTCAGGGAGTCATCATTATTAAAATTTGGGTAAATAATGTTAAAGCTTGTACCCCCTCATGGTTTATTCTCCCTGCAGTGTACAACAGCTACTGTATTCAACGTAATAAGCGCCTAGGGCGCTCTCAAAATTAGAAATAGGGGGCGTTTATTAGAATATTATTTTGAGTTGAAAGATCGTAAATTTCGTGGTCTATGCTAACAGCCTGAAATGTTTACATACGACAGATATATTTTTCAAGAATTTAATTGCCCATAATTAAGGGTGATATAACACATGAGTGCGTATTATACACGAAAAAAAAAGTCTTGTGTACATTGATCAATCGGAAGGGGTGCTAATTGGGGTTGTTCACTAGCCAATATATTAGCAAATATTGCCGTGGGCGCTTATTACATCGAATACAGTATTTCTTAAATAATGACATTGGTAAAAACTTACCTTCAGATAGTTCCGTAGTACTGCACGCCACTGACACATAATTGGCACACTCCCCGGTCGGGGCGATGGTGCAGTTGGCCAGCATCTGTTCATGGCCTTCACATGTGATCCTGGTTATCTTCGGGTCTGTGGACCTGGGTAGATTCCCCAGGGCAGAACAGCATTGTCTCTTTCCTTTGTTGTACCCCATCTGTCGACATGCTACCTCCGCCGCGTTACCGTTGAAGCCGTTCTCACACACAGACGACCAGGTGCCGTTGAGTTTCACTTCTAGTCGCCCGTAATCAGTACGGCCGTTGATGTCTCCTGATAGACGCACTGGATAAAAGTAAAATATAGGTGAGTGGGTGGGGTGAACTTGGGTATAACTGGGGTATAATTAGTGCATTTATTGCAAATGTGTCCGTGCATCTCCTTAATGCAGAGCGCTATGCAGACAAACAACACATACTATCTTTTTACGTCTTTTGGTATGACCTGACATCTCCAAGCCAACCAGACCTTGTTCTATCCCCTCGGACCTTGCACCAGGCAGATAAACAACAAGCACCATCTTTTGACTTCTTTTGGTTTGATCCAACTGGGATTGAACCCCCGATCTTCCGCTCTCTGGACAGAGTGGCAGGTCGTAGATGTATCCCTTCATTGTAAACCATGTTGTACAGGTATAGGAGGTGAGGTGAAATGGGGCTTCACATCGTGTCCGTGTTTATTCCACTCATATCGCGACGTGACTCCTGATGATCCAGACTAGAATAGGTCTTCAGCAACCCATGCTTGCCGTATAAGGTGACTATGCTGGTTGAAATGGCGACTAACGGGATTGGGTGGTAAGGCTTGCTGACTTTGTTGATGCATGTCATTGTATCCCAATTGCATGGATCGATGCTCATGATGTCAATCACTGGATTGTCTGGTCCAGACTCGATTATTTAGACCGCCATCATATAGCTGGAATATTGCTGAGTGCAGCGTTAAACAACAAATAAACAAATATATAGCGACGTGCATGCACGTCTGGGTGTGGTTGCTTGTGCTAGTCCGGACTTATGCCAGTTCTACGAGACCCCTGAGATACCCTGCGGCAGTTTAACAAAGATACACCACTTGGACAGTTTACCAAGCCAAACAACCCTTGTTTTAGCCCCTTAATGCAGAGTGCCAGGCAGGGTAACAACAAGTACCATCTTTTGACGTCTGTGAGGATTAGAGGGTGTATTGAATACAAAAGGCTTTTACATACATTAGTAAGGGGACACGCCTAGTACTACTGTGCATTAATGAGGTTTTAGTTGCCAAGAGACAACAAGAATCAGAGTGAGTGAGTGAGTGAGAGTGTTGGGTTTAACGCCGCTTTTAACAGTATTCCAGTTATATCACGGCGTGTCAGCTTAATGTGGGAGGAAAGCCCGAAGTGATGCAGGTCTCAGACGTTGACAACTTTGGTGAAACCCATGGGCATGGATATGGTGCTGACAAACCTAGAAACATAATCGGGGCGAACCGGGATTCGAACACACAATCATTGGTTTCTGGCGTTCCCAAGGGACGCAACTCTGCACAGCGAATAATGGCGCCGTAGACGACTGGATCAACAGTGGCCCCAAGAATCAGAGTACCTAGTTCTGTTCGGTATGGAATAGCTAACTAAGAAGGAAAAGAATGAAAGAAACTTGCGGAGGTTGGTATATGATTGTACGAAGATCCACTTTAAAAGCTTTGAAAAGTATTTCAGTTATATCGGATTCACGACAGAGAAGCACCAACTTTCGCAAGTTATTATTTTGAAAACTAAACGAGCCTGGTATGGTGCATAAAGATCGAGGATTATAATTGGAGAGAATAGCGATTTGAACCCATGATGAACGGATATTGACAGCTAAGGGACGCAATGCTGCAGTGCACTGTCGTCTTAGACCACCATCTTTATGAGAGCCGATAGTGAGGTTAGCTCTCATGAAAAGACATATCAGAAAAGTGTAGCAAGGTATTAAAAGACTGCAGTGGTATATTTCAACAGTAGTCATCTGGATTATGAGTTGCCTATGGATACAACAACAATAGCAACAAAGATGTTAAAATATCAATCCAATCATTTAGTAACATTGTCGTTACATATTGTTTTTTTTATGTTTATTTGGCTTTTCCTTGTTTCTGGCAATTTTTTTTTTTTAAGGAAGGTTATTTCTGATTATACTAATCCATCCACAATTGAGTCCAAAAATAACTTTTTTGAAAAACGAATAAAAGAACAAAAATAATAATTAAATTGTTGTTGTATCGAGTTGTAGATGCCTGGAGAAATGAAGAACACTATGACTTAAAACTCACCTGGGATGGTACCTGTTTAAATGTAACGTATAACATAAACTATAACTACAAAATACAGCAATAATGAAACCCAGTAACATTATGTATATTCCAAAACATGATGAGTTAAATGAGTGAGTGAGTGAGTATGGTTTTACGCCCGCTTTTAGCAATATTCCACCAATATCACGGCGGGGGACACCAGAAATGGGCTTCACACATTGTACCCATGTCGGGAATCGAACCCGGGTCTTCGGCGTGACGAGTGAACGCTTTAACCACTAGGCTACCCGACCACCCCTATGAACTAAATGAGTTATTGATGTGTGAGTGAGTGTTCAACAATATATCAGTTGTATATTTGCCTATAAATATAGTAAACTACGCTTATAATGAACAGACAGATATAACAAACTGTTTTTTTGTCCCGGCTGTTTGCTGTATATATGCTGAATATATGCTCATAATGAACAATAAAATGAATATAATGAACTAAAATTAGTGGTTCCTTTGAGTTCGTTATAACCGTAGTCAATCTCATTAAAATCAGATCTAAGTTCTCGTTGCTAAACAAAGATCTGAGGACATCCAATTACTGGTCACGTCAGAACGACCTTTCGCATACTTTGACCTACCACTGAAATGACTAACAAGAAGTCGACATCAGCCAATTAGAAAGCAGCTTACTCGAGCTTTACGGCACTCGTTTCAACCTGGCAAACTTCCATTTCAGACTAGGCTTGAAAAATATGTTCATACAGTTCTTGATTGAAATTTTGAAAACTGAACAAACCGGAATGTCTAATATATGGTTGAGATAGTATGGCAGTGCTTCCCATGTACTGTGCAACGCCTCCTCCATTCAAATGTTTATCCTACGGAAGTGAGACATAGACAACAATTTTGATTGAATCAGTTGCACGGGCCGTAACTGTTGTTCAGAATACCCTGTGTTAACGTTTTCAAGGTTGCATGATTAGAAAACACATTCCGTCTGTAACTTTCATGATCTGGTAAGCGATGCTTTGATTGGTTGGACAAAAGGTCGTTCTGACCTGACCAGTAATGGGATGTCCTCCGATCTTTGTTGAGCGATGGCGAAAACTAAGATCTGATTTTAATGAGACTGAACCGTAGTTTACTGTAATCAAATTTGGGATCAGGAAAATGATTTGATGTAAGGACACTTTACCAACAATTTGACTCTGAAACAATTTTAGGATTTGTTTGTCAACATCTTATAACACATAATAAGAAGACCAGAGAATATCTTCATTTTCCCTCGATACTGACCTGACAACCTATAATACTCAATATTTGGTAGGAGTATTCTGAGTGTGGGACTGAATGTGTGTGCTTGGCTCTTTGAGTGAGTGAGTTAAATTTTATCGTCACACCGGCAGTATCTCAGCCATATAGTGACGATGGCTCTTTGAAGATGGGTTTTTAAGTGAGTGAATTGGGTTTAACGCCGCTTTTAACAGTATTTCAGTTATATCGCGGCATTTCAGCTTAATGTGGGAGGAAAGCCCGAAGTCATGCAGGTCTCAGATGTTTACCACTTTGATGAAAGCAACGAGTATGGTGCTGACAAACCTAGAAACATAATCGGGGGAACCTGGATTCGAACCCACAAACTTAGGTTACTAGCATGCCCAAGGGACGCAACTCTGCACAGCGAATCACGGCGCCGTAGACGACTGGGCCAACCGTGCCCCCTCTTTGAAGATGGTGCCATACAGACAGTGTAACATACTGCAATGCAACTGGTCATTTTCAGCTTCACTGAAGTTAATAAAAGAAAGTACACAATTCAAGTAGCTGCAGCCCTCACGTTATGTAACAGTAGAAAATAGCCAGTATCCCTCTCAAATGTTGAGTAGTATACTTGTGATTTTTTATGTCTGTATGAGAGACCAGTACTCTGAAATTGTTCTCACCAGTGGAGTGGCACTGTATCACGGCGTCGTAGAGATGGGATTTACATAAGTCGTCCTCCTCGCCGAATCCTGACAAGGGGCAGTCGAAGATGCTGCTCTCATTCCCATCACAGGCTAACTGGTTGATCCACACTGGACCTGCAGTCTGACCCCGACTTCCGGCTTTTCCTGCAATGCCTGATGGGTGATTCATGTCCTTGCAGATTAGGGCGGCGATGTTGTCGTCAACGTTGATACCGCAAATGCTGCCCCATGTACCATTGATGTTAATTTCGACACGACCCTCAAGGCGTGTACCGCCCTCAATACGGAACCGTGGTTTTGTAATGCCTGAATCATTTTATATTGTGAAATATACACACAACTGCCATTAGAAGAAACATGACATCAATAATATACATAAGAGACTAACAGTATTTCAGTTATATAATTATATGTCAGCTTAATGTGGGAGGAAAACCCAAAGTGATGCACGTCTATGACGTTTACCTCTTTGGTAAAACCCATGAGCACGGGTATGGTGCTGACAAATATAGAAACATAAAACAATACGGACTTGGAATTGAACCCATGATCATTGGTTTCTGGAGTGCCCAAGGGACATTACTCTGCACAAGGAATTATGGGGCTTCAGAGGTCATACAAGATGAAAGTTTATCTACTGCCTTCAATAGAAATGCTTCATGTCAGTAAAATCACATATTGACTCCAATGACAAGAACAAAATAATAATACATTTAGTATGATTCATTAGTACTCTCCGCTTTCAAAGGCATCCTTAAGTCACCCCACTCTCTTCTCCCCGACCCCCACTGAACTGAACTTGACATTGAAAATGTGACCCAACCCATACCCACCCTCGTCGAATTTGAGAATTCAAATATGCATCCCACCCTTTCCGCGATCTTCATAAAACCTGGATCCACCTCTGTCTTAACTTATTTCTGTTGTATTCCATTTTCCAGTTTGTGAATGCTTAGCAATACGTGTAGTTCAAGTAAAGAGTCAAGTAAACAGTGGACATTGTTGTACGCTGCATTATTCCAGCTATTTTACAACAATCTGTAAATAATCAAGTCCTCAAGCGGCAAGGGCGTTCACAGACTATAAAAGTCCAGTCTCCACCCTTGCCAAACAAGGCAGGAATTCCGGAGTTACATTTTGGCCGGACAAACGAGTCTATGCATAGTTCTATCATTAGCGTAACAAACTAGACATCATGTTCATAAAAAACATGGATTTCAACGTGCAGATTTTGGTCAACTGAAGGATTTGCAAAGTATGTGTACTGCCAACTGGGCATAGACAGATATTTTGCAAATCTTTTCATGTTATTAATCAAGGTGCTCAAATGATTTGATGCACTTCGTGAGGTAGGGCCTGTTTTATTACAATATAGAACTTCAAGATTGTTTTGACTTGGTGCCCCTATTTAGTTTGAAGCAATTGCAAGTGATACGAGAAGTGGAATCGGATTGGTCAGTAGGAGGGATACAGAAAGGACATAACTTGAAATAGCAACTGGTGGCCGTACGATCGAGCCTGGAAATTCCAGCCTAGTACGGCAAGGGTGGAAACTGGACTTTTACAGGCAGTTAACTCACTTGCCTCAGGAAGATGGACCAAGTAAGGCAAACCAGTGGTTGACAATGACAATATCAGCCAGAACATATCCTGTAATCGGCAATCTACATTAATTGGCACTTAAAACAAGCATAGGGTATTCAAAACCTATTTAGCCCACATTCACCCCTAAGTGAGTGAGAGCATTGGGTTTTACGCCAACTTTTAGCAACATTCCAGCAAAATCACGTCTGGAAGCACTAGAAATTATCTTCACTGATTGTCCACATTTTACGCCTTTGTGAACACTCAAACCTCTAGGCTACCTCACCTTTCCAAACAAATCTCACCTGGGGATCTGTAACAGAAGGCTGCTGCGTCTGATCGTTTGTCGCATGGGTTAATCTGATTCCACGTGATCCCAGGGCAGGTCTCCAAGAGGTTTTCTGTACCGGTGCAGTTCAAGTTTGTCATCCAACGTATTTCCTTTACGAAACTCCGTCTATTGTTGTTAATTCGTTTGTAGGAAAATCCGCCATTGGTCATTCCCATCTCTCTGCACACGACTTTGGCCTCGTTGTCGTCGAATCCATTAGGACATATGAGACCGTCGTGGCTGAAGTGTTGGAGGACCACTCTGCCGGATGTCCCGTTGTCGAGCTTCACGATGTATGCTGTCAGAAACAATACAGAAAGGTGTCTTCATTAAATGACAGAGGTTTCCAATCCTATAGCGTCACCTTTACTGACAGAAGTTTAAATATGTCATAGGCATTGAGGTTGGACAATCTTATCTTATTTCACCGCCTCCATATGCAACTAAACATTGAAGTTATTTCAATCCACACAAATGCTTAAATATCATTTACAGTAAACTATGTTAATAACGAAAACGCTTATAATAAACTGACGGATATAACGAACTGCTATTCAGGTCCTGGTCATCTGCTGTATATATATATACCCGGTATATATAATGAACTACAGTTTTAACGAACTAAAATAAGTTGTTCCTTTGTGTTCATTATAACCGAAGTTTACTGTATATCAGTCGAGTTGGATCAATCCTTTGCTACCTGCTACGAACGTAATCATTCATTATCACAAAAATATTATGATATTATAATTTATAATCATGTTAAACAACAAAGTGACGGTAGTCAAATGCTAGATTTCTTAAAGCATTTTATTGAACATTAAGGCAGATTCAAATTCAGGGTCTTTTCAAACCTGTGTGATCCTTAAATTGTACTCACCATTTGAGGTATCAGTGACATTGGAGCAGACGACAGATGCGTAATGGTTGGAGCTGCAGATGGAGGTTTTGGTATGGGTACAGTCCATCACAGATGCCTCTTCTCCAGTACACTTGAGGTCAGCTATGGCAATGGACTTGCCCACATCACCGAAGGCGGAACAGCAGAGTGCTTTTCCGTCTGGATAACCCATTTGGCGGCAGGCGACCTTGGCCTCTGTGTCTGTGAATCCCGCCGAGCAGACAAGGCCATAGGAGTAGCCTGTCCAAATCTCTAATCCACCAAATTCTGGTTTCGGCTCGAGGCGCACTGTTAATTGTAGATAGTATCTCATAACAAGAGTGAGAGAGTGTGTAAGGTCGTTACATGTGCATAGCAATATTTGATGGGGGGACACCACAAATACTTTCAAACATTGCATCCATGCTTGGAATCGAACCCTTGTATTTGGTTTGATCAGCGAACAAATTAACCACCTCCACCCCAGACTAATTGAGATGGCGTTCTCGTTTATCTCACTTATCGTTCTTCACCACATGTCTTTGTTGATGTTATAAGTATACATTAGATGTCAGGTCAAATAAAAACTGCTTTAGCCTAGGCTAATCCAAGACCCGTTTGCCACTTCAAATATATATTGAGTGCAAAAACACAACCATATCAATGATCCAACATTCAAAAGAGTTTATGAAATTTATGCCCCCTTAACCATTTTCTTACCTATACTCACTGTACAGCAGTGATCAAAATGAAGCTTCCCCAACCCCCACCCCTACACTTTTAAAAACCAAATGTATTATGTAGTGGAGGCAGTAAAATTGACTGAGACAGGATTTTGATATTTTGTAGCCCTTCCTTTTAAAAAATGCTGGATCTGCCCTTGGCACCAATGTTGTTTGTTTGTTTGTTTTTTAACAATATTTCACTTATGTGTCTGCGGCCTGTAAATAGTATACATGCTCGCTGACTTGGTTAATGCACGTCATCTTATCCCACTTGTGTGGGTCGATGCTCATGGTGACAATCACTGTATTGTCTGGTCCAGACTCGATTATTTACAGACCGACGTCATATGGCTGGAATATTGCTGAGTGCGACGTTAAACAACAAACAAACAAACATATTGCGAGCAAAGATCCAGGCCGTTGCGATATATGACAAGTCATCGACCTGACCACCCAATGCATTTGGTTGCTTCTCACGACCAGAGTATGTCCTTGTGTACCAATTCTAACCCGGAAATACCCAGGGGCGTCAGCATGTTGGGAGTTTAAGACAGGTTTCCGGCGTGACAAGAAAACGTTTTAGCCTAAGGCTACCCAAACAACTGTAGCATAAGAAACACAAATGCGTTTTATATAAAAGCGACAAAACCCTTTTCACATTCATAAGAAATCCCTACAGAAGGCAGAATCCATTGCACAACTCTGACTTCATCATGAGCATATGTGTTCATGAATCACTATGACACCAAATGTGCGCGAAAAGGTGACTCACCTCTGGGGAAGCAGTAAACGCCTGCATCGTTGTCGTGGTCGTGGCAGTAACCGGCGCTGTTGTTCCAGCCGCGATTAGGACAGGCATAGATCGACTTGTCATTAATGCGGCAGCGCATCTCATCCATATACACCGGTCCAGAACCACGCCCATACCGGGACTGAGCGTAAGCGATACCTTCCACAAAGCCCAGTTGTCGGCAAAGGGCGCGTGCGTCGTATCTAGACCAGACATAGTCACAAATTGTGCCCCAAACTCCGTCATAAGAGATCTCAACCCGCCCGAAGTTTTTGCCGCCATCGGACAATTTCACCTGAATACCTAGAAAAAGGAGCGAAGATCAGTTAGTTGCGTTTGTAGTAATTTTCAAGCACTATCACGACAGGGGACAGAATTTGGCCTCACATATTGTACCAATGTTGGGATTCGAACCCGGGCCCTAGGTATGACAAGCGAACACTTAATCCGCTGGGCTACCCCATCGTCAGTGCGAAGATCTTACGACATCAAACTGAGGAAATGCGTTTAAGTGTTGTATGTTAATATTTTTTACAAATACAATATAACAGACAAATAGAGAATCTCACCCGAGTGTCTTTTGATATCAAATATATCAACACGAGTTGATAAAAGTGGAAAAAATCCGAGGCTTGCCGAGTATTTTTGCCACTTTTATCAACGAGTGTTGATATATTTGATATCAAAAGACACGAGGGTGAGATTTTATTTATCATCCAACATCATTCTTTCAACGTTTTCAATTTGTAGACAGTAATTAGCAGTGTCTTCAGTGTAAAAAGTACTGCAAACAGCTTCAGTAGCAGAGCCATTAGTGATAGCATTTGATTGTGACGTCATGGTAACCAGTGACGTCACAATGGTCTGCAATGCATTGTAATGTAATTTCATTGCAGCGATATCTACAGTGTAGATATCGCTTGATCTCATCCAAGCGATATCTCCTGTGGGAGCCAGTATTGGATGATTTTTTTCATATTTGGAGATCAACCACTGTTTGCAAACTAGAATTGACGTTGTTTGGTGAGAGGGCGAGTGAGGGAGAAGTTATTACGCTTGGAACAATATTTCAGTTGTATCAGGGTGTGTGAGATGAAGGTTAGGCGTTAAACCACTTTGGTGAAGTTCGGTGCTGACTAGACCATGGATCAAAATATGGGATTCGAACCCGCAATCAGCGGATCCCGACCCAACTACATGAATTGCATGGCCTCCACCACTGATGCATCCATGCATACTTCGAATATTCACAAAAGTGTCAAGGGCTATCAGATTTCAAATGCAATATACATGTAAAATGTAAAGATTAGATTGACTTAACGACATTCTTGACCACTCTTGTCCTTCCAGACAAATCGAACGGCTTGCAGGTTACGGAAAGGGCAAGTGATGGTTTTTATAGGGCGGATCGTTGTATGACAAAGGGACACAACTCTGCATCTACTTGTCCCCCATACATATAACAGAGCACTGCCATGCTCCATACACTTACCGGTTGACTTGTAACACAGGGCTCCAGCCGAGGTTGCGGAGTTTCTGCAAGATCTGGACACAGTGTCGTTCTTCACGCAGTCAGCAATGGAAGCTTCGCCCCCGGTGCAGTTGACGTCGGAGTACCACACCAGCTCAAATGTGCTATTCCGGGGGGTCCCGAAAGCTACACCCCCTGCAAATCCCGACTGTTTACACAGAATATTGGCATCCACATCACTCCATCCTTCCTCGCAAATAGTTCCATTCAGGCCATATCGTTCTACGATCACGCGGCCATTGAAGCCATTCTGTACGTGGTATTTTGTTCCTGAATTATCAAAGTACATGCCCAGTCAGTGTAATCGCAAAAAATCAGGTTCGTATATGTTGTATAACAAAGCTTAGGTAGGTATATAAGAACAATATTACAACAATACGTCTCTAATACAAACAAATAATTCATCAATGTACTTTCGGTACCCAATCGTATAAGCGTTTGTTATATGACACTGCAAATCATGATAGGATAATTGCGTCACACTGCATCAAATTATTGCGAATAGGGCCCCTGCAGATCCGGGCTAGAATAGGTCTTCAGAAAGCCTTGCTTGTCGTATGAGGCGACTAACGGGATCGAGTGGTCAGGCTCGCTGACGTGGTTGATGCATGTCATCGTATCCCAATTGCGTGGATCTATGCTCATGATGTCAATCAGTTGAATGGCTGGTCCAGACTCGATTATTTACAGATCGCCGGCGACATATAGCTGGAATATTGCTGAGTGCGGCGTTAACCATTAACCAAATAAACCAAGACTGTCGAATCGCAGTTTCACATTCTTTTCACCATCGTATTAATTTCATGATTCATGGTGCTTACATTATTTAAATGTTGGCAAGTATTGTGTGAACTGAATTAGTTGGGTGTAACATTAAATTGCCGCTTTCAATTGCATTGCAGCGTTTCAGCTTAATGTGCGTTGGAAAGTTAATATTGACACATGTTTACGCTGTTTTGGTTTTCAAACAATAAGACGCTGTTCAAAAGTGAAATTATTTGTGCATGTTCACATTTCTATGATATACAGTAAACTACGGTTATACCGAACACGCTTATAACGAACTGACGGATATAACGAACTTACTTTTTGGTCCCGACTACTTGCTGTAGTCATGCTGTATATGTACTTATAACGAACTACGGTTATAACGAACTAAAATTAATAGTCCCTTTGAGTTCGTTATAACCGTAGTTTACTGTACATCGAAATGACCAGCACACCTTCTGATGTCCGACTCACCTGCTTGTTGCGTGTCCGAGAAGCAGATGGCCCTTGCTTGACCAACGCTGTATGGACACTGGCCCTTGTTATACTTGCAGGCGGCCAGACTGCTCTCATTGCCCTTGCACTCAATGTTGGTGATGTAGTTGGGGTTGTAGGTGGCCCGGGACGTCCTCAAGATCTTCGACCTGGAGAAGCCCAGACTCCTACAGGCAACGTCGGCATCTTCCTGGTCGAAGGAATCAGCACACACCATGTGCCATCGGCTTCCTATCAGCATGCTGATCTTGCCCATAGCCATCGACTGATTCACCGACCCTTCCGTGACACGCACTGAAACATGACGTGGTTAGGTTATATACAACTCAAAATAAGTTAAAGAACATCCGATTCAGTCTTTAGTTTGTTTGTTTGTTTTGTTATTTAACGCCGCACTAAGCAGTAGTCCAGCCATATGACGGCGGTCTGTAAATAATCGACCCTGGATTGACATCATGAGCATCCATCACGCTATTGGGATCGATGACATGCATCAACCAAGTCAGCGAGCCTGACCACCCGATCCCGTTAGTCGCCTCTTACGACAAGCATATTCGCCTTTTACCCCTATTCTACCCGGATCTTCACGGGTCCTGTCTTTAGTCATAGTACTATATGTAATTACTTAATCTGTCATGTCATGACAGATTAACTAAAGTAATGTGAACGAATTGGATTATTAAAACTTCTTGAGTAGTATATGATGAATAGTTTGAGTGGGTGACTATGGTCTTACGCCGTATTTAGCAATATTCCAGCAATATCACGGCGGGGGACACCAGAATTGGCCTTAACACATTGTACCCATGTTGGAAATCGAACCCGGGTCTGCGGCGTGACTAGCTAACGCTTTAACCACTAGGCTACCCGACCGCCCGACGAATAGTTGGAGAGTAAGTTTGGTTTAACCCTGTTTTGAACAATATTTCAGTTAAATCACGGTGTGCCAGCTTCATGTGGGGCAAGCTCCCGAAGTGTGCAGGCCTGACATGTTTACCACTTTGGTGAAAGCAACTAGCATGGGTACTGTCTTACAACCTAGAAAAATCATTAGGGTTAATTAGGGTTTCGAACCCACAGACAGATTTCAAGGGAAATTGCGAATTGCGACTAGGCCACCGTGTCCTTGGACTAGCAAAACAAGAGACAACGCTGCAACCAAATAAAGTAACAGCCAGGTGATCTATCAATCTAGATTAACATTCCACATTCCCAGGATGAATGGTGTGTTTAATAAGTCAAAAGAATGAGAACCTGTTATGTTGCTTACCGTCTCTGAAGCAGAAGGCCCCCGCGTCCTCAACACACGCCTCTTCGTTGATGACGTTCTTCCAACCAGAGTTTGTACAGCGGAATAAAGACGGCTCGTTACCGAAACATCGGAGCTGAGTCATGTACACCGCCCCTCTATCCTTGGGGTATCTAAAACAGGGGATAAACGATTATATGTGAGTCAGTTGAATGAGACGACCCTATGAACGACATGTCAGCCATCACGGTGTAAGCCAATTGGTACAGGCGTACAATTTTGGTGACACTCGATCGCGTGTGCGGTGTTGATATGGCAAGGAACACTGCTGATCGGAGCAGATCTAGATTTCCAACACATATGCAGCTGATCCTGGCACGACTAAGGGGCACGATAGCCTGCAAATAATCGAGTTTGGGCCAGCAAACATTGGTTGGCCGTACGTGTTGTGAGTGAGTATGGTTTTACACCGCTTTTAGCAATATTCCAGCAATACCACGACAAGTGACACAAGAAATGTGCTTCACACAATTTAACCAATTGGGGAATGGAACCCGGCGTGACTAGCAAACGCTTTAACCATCAGGCTTCCCAACTGACAAGTTGACTACGAACAAAGATTCAATCGGTTGATAACACACAATTAGCCAGGATAGGCACTGTAACCACCCAATCCTCATTTGTAGGCTCAGATGATCAGCATCCCGGGGAGAATATTCAAATGCAGTCTCCAGGGAGGATGTCTTGAGCTGTACTTACCTAAGAGCGACGCCGTCATTGAAGCCGAGCTGCGAACATGCCACTGTGGCATCGTTGTCGTCCCAGCGTTTGCCACAAATCCGTCCTGCCTCGCCGTTGATGATGACCTCGAGACGGCCATGCTTACCTCCCCTTGGTGAGAACTGAAGCCTTGGAGCTGGGGTGAAGAGACATTACAATTAAAGTCTGAACTTGTAAGTGAAACGCTTTGAGGACTGAAAACCAGTTCTTACTTAGTTCGAACTTTTCTTTGCTCACCCATCCCCTACCCCCACCACCTTCCCTACCTAAAAGAAAATTAATAGAACCCAAACAAAACAAAGCCAAACAAACACAAAAACAACAAGAAAACAAACAAACAAACTAACTCTCGGAAAGGCATCGCTTATTATAGCAAATTGATGTTTATTCTGCACCATACTTCAGAGAGTAAATGAGTGAGTGCGTATGGTTTTTGGAAATATTCCAGCAATATCGCGACGGGGGACACCAGCCATTGAATATTGTGGGGAATCGAAACCGGGCATTCGGCGTGAACTTCAGCCAGAAACCTGTTAGCCAATAACCCCCTACATCTATCCATGTCGGATCGTTCGGATTAACCAGCCATGGGAACGAAGAATGATCATTAGGGTCAGTGAGTAAACTTTGTGTTACTCGGAAGTCAGCAAGTTTCCAGTTCCATCACCGCGGCCAGGAAATGATGGAACTAGGGGTTGATAGCACGAGCAACACTCGTTGGTACAACGGCGTACAATCACCCAGTTCACACACTGTATCCACCCGAACCTCATTAATCTTCTCTTCTCTGACGATAGGTTGGGCTACATGGGCCTATTCTGACCGGTACAATCATCAGGATAAACAGGGCTACTTTGTTCTAATTAATACTCCACACATCGACACTCACCTTCTCCGCTGTAGCACAGCACACCACCAGCCTGCAGTGATGTGCAGAGTTCCTGTCCTTTCGGACAATCCTCCAGTTTGCTCTCGCTGCCGTCACAGTTGATCTCACTAATGAAGAACGGCCCTGCATAGTTTCCAGCATATCTGTAAGCTATTCCTCCTGTGTGCCCGAGCTCCTTACACGTGACGTTGGCGTCGTGGTCATCCCAGTACTTGTCACACACGTAACCCCATGTCTGATGCTTGCGTGCCCGAAGTCTCCCAGAGGCCTGGTCAGTCTCTATGTTACCGCCTTCAAGCTTGTACTTGTCGCCTGTGGAGTATATAGAATGAGTGAGTGAGTGAGTGAGTTGGGTTTATCACCGCTTTGAACATTATTCCAGTTATATCACGGCGTATCAGCTTAATGTGGGAGGAAAGCCGAAAGTGATGCAGGTCTCAGACGTTTACAACGTTGGTGAAACCCACGAGCACGGGTATGGTGCTGACAAACCTAGAAACATAATCGGGGCGAACCGGGATTCGAACCCACAATCATAGGTTTCTGGCGTGCCCAAGGGACGCATCTTCCCGAGGCAAGAGAGTTAACTGACTTTAAAAGTGGAAACTGGACTTTCATAGTCAGTTAACTCACTTGCCTCGGGAAGATGAAGGGACGCAGCTCTGCACAGCGAATCGCGGCGCCTTAGACGACTGGGCCACCCGTGCCCCCCGAGTGAGTGATTGAGTGAGTGAGTGAGTTGGGTGAAACACCGCTTTGAACTTTATTCCAGTCATATCACGGCTTGTCAGCTTAATGTGGGAGGAAAGCCTGAAGTGATGCAAACTTTACAAAGCTGGTGAAACCCACGAGCACGGGTACGTTTCTGGCACGCCCATGGGACGCAACTCTGCACAGCGAATTGTGGCGCCTGTGACGACTGGGCCACCCGTGCCTCCCAGAATGAATGAGTACTGTTTAATGCCACAGTCGGTCATATTCAAGGGGTTTAACGGCGGCCTGCAAACAATCCAGTGAATCATGTCATGAGCATCGATCCACGCAATAGGGATACGATGACACCCGGTCAACGAATTAAGTCACCAAGCATGACCGCCCGATATGTTGTGTCGTCTTTTGCGAAGAACACAGGCTGCTAGATTACTAGGGAACCAATTCTACCCTAGAATTTGATTAATCTACCACGGATTCCAAGAGAGGAACGAAGCAGTGAATGAATAAGGTTTTGGCCCGTACATATGAGAGTCATTATATATAAACGTCAATGTCTCATGAGTACTTATCGTCATGTAACAACGGCAGCACAAGAACGAATCACGAATCACTGTTAGACATGACAACAAGTGTTCTGTAAAATGGATAAGTACATGTTGTTTGTTTGTTTGTTTGTTTGTTTGTTGTTTAACGCCACACTCAACAATATTCCAGCTACACGACGGCGGTCAGTAAATAATCGAGTCTGGACCAGACAATGCAGTGAGCATTGATCCATACAATGGCGATCGATGACATGCATCAACCAAGTCAGCGAGCCTGACCACCGATCCCGTCAGTCGCCTCTTACGACAAGCAAGGGTTGTTCTGAAGACCTATACGTCCTGCTACGTCAGTAACTGTCCAGGTCGCCATACAGATGACCCAAGAAAATATTCCACGTCCATTAAAGGGGGCGGTCAAATGATTGAGCCTGGACCAGACATAAAAAGAATCAGCAATGTCTTCCGGGTTTGATAACGTCATCGGAATTGATCTCAATAAAAAATCTCAAGGCTTATCTCCCTTTGATTATGATGTAACAGGTACTCATAAACGGATAATGAACTTAACAAAAATATATTCTGAAACATTTGCTTCATTGAAAACTTTCTGAATTATTCATTGAATCATGTTCAATACGTCATGATCCATATTACACACATCTCAAATTTACCTTGAATTGTTCATTGAATCATGTTCAATACGTGTATGTCATGACCAATGTTACATACGTCTAAAAGTTTCGTGTTAACACATTTAATGAGTGAGTGAGTATAGTTTTACGCCGTTTTTAGCAATATTCCACCAATATCACGGCGGGGGATACCAGAAATGGGCTTCACCCATTGTAGCCATGTCGGGAATCGAACCCGGGTCTTCGGCGTGACGAGCGAACGCTTTAACCACTAGGCTACCCGATCGCCCCGTCAACACATTTTGGAAAGTCCCGAAGACAAAACTGAAAACACAATACAAGTATATACAGAGTGATGTGAACTTTGTAAGCAGTGTTCTGTTTTGTCGGACTCTGCTCCCTATTATCCGACTATATATAAACGTTGTAAACAATCAGTATGACAGTGACTGAACTCACCGCCGACAACAGTGTCATAACAAGCCACCGACGCATAGGAGATGCTGTAGGGTAGACAAGTTGCTGTCAACGACTTGTCATAGTCACAGTTTAACAGCGACGTCTCGTTACCGCTACAGGTGATGTTAGGCCGGACGCTGTCCATTCTCTGCCGGCCGAACACCCCCAGGGGGAGAGCCTGGCCGTTCTTGAAGCCCAGCTCCGTGCACACAACCTTCGCAGCCTTGTTATCAAAACCGGTTCTTCCGCAAACTGTGGCCCAGCGTCCTCGGCTGTAGATCTGAACCACCCCCACGCTGTGTGTCCCGGGGGTGAGGCGGACTGAAAGGGGTGAAGTTATTTCCGATTTTAGTGAGTGAGTGAGTACGTATGGTTTAACGTCGCTTTGAACAGTATTTCATTTATTTCACGGCGTATGAGCTTGATGTAGGGGGAAAGTGATGCGGGTAAAACCCATGAGCACGAGTATGGTGCTGACAAAATAAGCACCATAAGCAGGCCAGAGCACAGGATCCTGGCACTCAAAAGGGACGCAACTTTACTGAGGCGCGTTAGTTCACAGAATAATGTATACAAATATCCCTGTTCCTACATGATACAAAAGTTGCTTTTAACTTGTAATTAAAGAAACACCCGTTTCAGACGCCGGCATAAATGTTAATTTTCAAGTTCGTGTTACTAGATGTACAAATTTGGACCAACAGGTTATGTGGACATACCATTCCTGTAGCATCGGACCCCCGCATCGTTCTGATGGTCAGCGCACTGGTCAGTGCTCTTCCCCCAGCCCTTGCTGTCACATTTGAACAAGGAATCGTCACCGAAACCACACGTGACGCTACTCAGCCACACCGACCCTGACCCTGGCTGGACGTCAGCGTTCATGGCCCGGCCGTCTGTATATCCCACCATCTGACACACCACGGAGGATTCCTCGTCCGACCAGCCGTTGTTGCAGATGGTGCCGTTGACACCGTCGTAGGAGATGTCCACTCTGCCGTAGCCAGCCTTAGGGTTGTCGAGGCTCACGGTCACACCTAGATAGGTGAAGTAAAGGTTATTAGTACACTTTTGCGAGCAATTGTAATGATGTCTATTTCAAATTTCAGTGCAAAAGAGTTTGTTTGTTGGTTGTTTAACGCCGCACTCAGCGATATTCCAGCTATATGACGGCGGTTGGTAAATAATCGAATCTAGACCAGAAAATCCAGTTCTTGACATCATGAGCATCGATCCACGAAATTGGGATACGATGACATGCATCAACCAAGTCAGCGAGCCTGACCATCCGATCCCGTTAGTCGCCTCTTACTATACTACTCAAAGAAAGTTAAGGATCAACGTACTTTTTCCAAATTAATAAAGTTAATAGGTCATATGATAAATTGACAATAGTAATTTGAAAGAATCTGGTTATCATGGCATGACGGTTAACCATAGTACAAGAAATCTGAAAGAATCGGGCGATCATTACTATTTTTGTTAGGAGTATATACATGATAGGGAAGGCGGTCGGTACTCACTGGTGTTGTAACAGAGGACATGCGCCGGGGTGCAGGTGTACACTGACTCCCCCCACTCGCCGGTATTGCAGTCAAGGACATTGGTCTCATTGCCCACACATTTGATGTCGGTCAGCCACGGGGGAAGGTTGTCACGGGAGGTGTCCCCGAACGCCTTGCCTCCCTTGTAGCCAAGCATTCGACACACCACGCTTGCCTCCCGGTCACTCCACTTGTCGGAACACACCTGGCCCCATAGACCAAGATGATATATTTCAACCCTTCCCCAGTTGTCGGCACCATCGGATAAGCGGACTTCCGTAGCTGGAACAAAGATGTCATCATTCAAAGCTCTGGTTATATGTTTCTATTAAAGACATTTTCAATTAACTTGTTTGGGAAGGCTGATTCAAAAGTTTGAAAAATAATTAAATTATTATATTAACAAATTAAGAATAAATTATATCACCCCGTTAACATTTTGTATGTTTGTTATTCAACGCCGCTATATGACGACGGTCTGTCAAAAACTCTAGACTGGACCTGTTAATCCAGAGACTAACGTCATGGGCATCGATCGACGCAGTTGGGAGTCGATGATATGCATCAAGCATTTATTGAACCTGACCACACGATCCCGTTAGTCGCCTCTGACTATGGGTTACAGAAGACCAATTCTAACCCGGATATTCACGGGTCATCCCGTTAACAAAAAGATGAGGAAGGAGACACGTTGGAATGTCTGACAACAAATGGTTGACAACAGGCGTTTTATCATTCTCACAAGTTTTGGATTCTTAACAAAGTCAAATACATTAGCATTGCTTAATGAGTAATTTTTTTCAGAATTTTCGAACATCCAAGAATAAGCTTTGTTTGTTCGTTGTTTAACGCCGCACTCAGCAATATTCCAGCTATATATTGATACCATGAGCATCGATCTACTCAAATGGGATACGATGACATGCAGCAACCAAGTCATCGAGCTTGACCACCCGATTCCGTTAGTCGCAAGGTTGTCTGTCTCCACCTGTTACTTACAGTTGTCAACTTCATCAATGGAGGTGTTGTAGCAGATGACAGAAGCCGACGACAGGGTTGAACATCCCCTCCCTGACCTGACCATGGGGCAGTCGGCCAGACGGTTCTCCGTCCCCGTGCAGTTGACGCTGCTGTAGGAGTTGACGGTCCTCCCCGTGCTCCAGGGGTGTTTCCCCCATGGACTCCCCCACATGTTTCCGGCCAGGGCTGACCCTTGTAACGCCATGCCGTCCACGAAGCCGAGCTCGCGGCACGTGACCTTGGCGTCGTTTGCTGTCCATCCTTTGTCGCACACCTCCATCCACCCTTCCCCTGCCTTCCATAGTTCCACGCCACCTACGTTGCGGATGGTCAAGCTTTTGGACCGTAGTCGAACTGCAATGAGAATAATTGCATTGTGAACATTCTTTAAGCAACACTGCACCATTATATATCATCAGCTGCAACACTCAGTATGTGAGTGGACGAACAGGGTTTAATGTCGCTTTTAGCAATATTCGAGAAATATCCCGATGGGGTAAACATGAACAAGGTAAACATGAACAAGGTAAACATGAACAAGGTAAACATGAATAGGCTTCACATACTGAGCCATTGTAGGGAATCGAACCCGGTCTTCATTCTGACGAACCAACGCTTTACCCTTTACTGTCAAACACCGTTGTGTCGAAGTTGAATGGACCTACGTAAATATTTCGAGTTATCTGAGGTTTGACAAAACCGAACATGAATAAAAAGGAATACGTAGGGATCATGCTTTTACTTTGAGACAATCGTAAGTTCGACACATCAAAGTTAGACACAACTGTGTTTGACTGTAGTTTCTTTTTTTCTTTTTTGTTTCACGCCGCACTCAGCAATACTCGGGCTATATGACAGCGGCCTGTAAATAATCGAGTCTTGACAAGACTATCCAGTGATTGACATCATGATCATCGATCTATGCCATTTCGATACGATGAAAAGCATCAACCAAGTCAGCGAACCTGACCACCCGATCTTACCCTATAGTCTACCACGCAGCCATTACAAAGCCATGCCGCCAATACTTGGGGTCTCCCATAACACATGAACAAAGGCTTGCAATATTATCCGTGTGAGTGAATCAAAGTTGTTGACACAGCAACCAGCAATATTGCAGCTATTTCTCGTCGATAGATTGCCGCTATGTACGAGTATGGCCAAGAGGTTGAAAGCATGAACAGACTGTCGATGACACAACGAGGCCACACATTGTGACACCCCGATCCTCATTACAACCGGTGATGGGGGAATTAGCTCCTTGTGGGACGATCTTATTAAAAGGTTAATCTTAAGAATCCGTTTTTCGCAGGTCGAGTGTTTCGACGGATCGTAATGTTGCCCTGTACCCAGTGTTTGAAATATTTAAAAAATGCCAGGCTGCCATCAGGACCACAGCTTAAGAGTGAGTGAGTGAATGAGTATGGTTTTTCGCCGCTTTTAGCAATATTCCAATATCACGGCGGGGGACACCAGAAATGGGCTTCACACACATGTGGGTAATCAAACCTGGGTCTTTGGCGTGACGAGCGAACGCTTTAACCACTAGGCTACCGGGTACCCCACCGCCCCCACAGCTGCAGGCACTGACTAAACTCAGGCCCTGTCTTCAAACCTGCTGCTTATCGTGAAAAATAAATCGACAAGTAAATTCACTGCAGGCCATAACGGACCCATACACATTTGAAACTTCGGGTCCGACACAGGATCTACCTGCCACGGGCCTACGGACAGGCGCTTATTTTAGACTGCCTGTACCTGTTGTATTGAAGCAGACAACGCCCACATCCTCCTCCCTCCCACAGTCATGTGTCCTCCAACTGTTGTGACGGCACTGCAGCAGGGACGCCTCTCCCCCACGGCAGTTGACCTCATCTAAGTACGTCCTTTCGCCATTCCGAAATCCCTCCTCGGTCAGACGCTGAAACAGACTGGCCGAGTTAGCTGGGTATAGATGAACACAGAGCTTTTCTCGAGACATCAACAACAGTTGTCATTGTTAATATTTTAAAGAATACTATCTCTATTACACCAGTGCCATAAATCTTGTATTTTGGCTGTCATCGCTCTAAAGAATATTTAGATTTCCAACAGAAATCGTCTTCACTGTCAACTATCCATAATTAGTTGTTCCACTTTAAAGGGCAGATCAACCCAGACTTCCTGATGAGGTCAGAGATCTAGCGGAAACTAGGATTCGAAATAAGCGAATTCTTCCAGAAATTAATTGGATTTGCCGTAATGCTAACGTCTCTTGCTTCACGAACTATCCTGTTTTGAATAGCTCACCTGTCCGTATGTGTAGCCGAAGTATTTACATGCAATGCCAGCAGCGTTCTCGTTGAACAGGTCGTCACAGACGCTGCCATACTTCATTTTGCCCAGTGCCACTTCAAGTCGCCCCCAGATGGTGTTGAGGGCGTTGTCCGTGGACCCCTCCTGCAGCTGCATCTTGAACACTGAAACAGACGACATATGTCTGTGAGAAGAGGAATTGTATGTTTGTCTTTTAAAGCCGCATGACGGCGGTCTGTTAATAATCGAGCCTGGACCAGACAATCCAATGATTGATATCATGAGCATCAACCAGCATGGGTTGTTCAGAGATAAGAGCCTAAACAACAGGACAATAATACGACGGATGGAGCAATAATAATTTACCATTCTGTCAAACTCAATGGAGTCAGATCTTTACCGCGTGAAGATCTGATGACAAATCCATAAAAATTTCGAACTTAGCGAAAACATTGTGACAGAGCATACAAAATACCATCGATAATATACTCATTTTGGATGCAGATGTCATAGCGCTGAAAAACGACAGGGAGTCAACAACAATATATAAGCGCGGTTTTATGTTTTTGCTCTCGGAACTGCCGGATTAAATTCATTTTGGAGATACAGAAATCAGATATGCCGGTCTGAATGTTTCGCTCATTGTACCGAGCATTTAGAAGCTTGGGGGCTGATTGGCTGATTAGAAAGGTCACATGACACGACCTCCAAGGTGTCTTCAGATCTTCACACCGAAAGGTGTAAAAGATGTAATGTTAATGAGATTGACGTTCTGTACCCACGTGGGTAATCGACCATGGGTCTATGGGAGTCCCCCTGTGCCCATGAAAGCACAAAGTATGACAACAATATATAATTATTCTAAGGCATATACAATCTTATGATGTTGTCATCTTTTTAATTATTATTTGGAATGTTAAAATTCAATAGTTGGAGACAAAAGTAAAGTGTTCACAATAATCAGACACTTTGACCAGCCGATACACATTAAGTCACCGAGGTGACAGGTTTGTTCTACCTCGAAATCCTAAAAGGGCCATTGGAAATGTATGAAAATGAGACACTATATCCCCTAAAGGTGTTAAGCGAGTGAATGTTGATCTGTGAATAATGGCTATAGTTTGCGGCGTTCATACCTCCGTCGGTGCTGTTGTAACAGTATACGCCAACATCTTCAGTGTGGTCACAGTCGTGGTCCTTCCACGTGCTCTTCCTGCATTTATCAAGATCTGTCTCCGTCCCTCGACACTCCACGTCGTCGAGAAACACAGCACCAGAGCCGCTGCCGAAGTACGCCTTGGCAATTGCCTGCACGGAGGAAAGACAAAGTGAGTGAGATAGTGAGGGTGGGTGAGTTATTGCGTCAGTGAGTATATTTTTACCCTGCTTTTAGCTATATTCAAGCAATATCACGTCGGGGAAACGAGAAATGGTCTACATACATAGTATTCATGTGGGGAATCGAACCCGTGCCCTCGCCTTTACGAGTAAACGCTTTAACCACAAGTCTTTGAGATGAGTTGAGGTGAGGTGAGAAGGGGTTTAACGTCGCATCCAAGATTATTGCACTTATATAGCGACATAATGAGATGGGTTGGGTAAGTGAGTAGGTGTACGTAGTTCAAATGAGCGGTGAGGTGAAATTGGTTTAAAATCTGCTCCAGTGTTACGAATCAATGAATGATTTTATATATGTGACAGTATATTTTATTAATAAAGTTAATAACTAAAAGATAACTGATCACGATGAACACATGTTGGACGTGTGTGAATACCAACCTCTCCATCTGTGAAACCGAAGCCACGGCACACTACAATGGCAGCACTTTTGTTGAAGAAGTCGTCACATATTGTCCCCCACGTCGTTCCGCCGTCGTTGGAGACCTCCACTCGTCCCGATCTGTATGCGGCTGCCGTCTCGCCGTTCACGATGCGGGTCTGCAAACCTAGGCAACGCAATGATACGACTTTAAAACATACAGTAAATAATAAAGATGAGTTTGTACCCTTAAGGGCATCTTCCCGAGTGAAGGGAATTAACTGACTGTAAAAGTGGACGTTTCCCAGTTACGGCGGAGTGCTGACAAAAATATTCGGGCTGAGCCGGGGTTCGAACCAACGGGAGAGAACTCCACTTACTTGAACAGACTATAATTTTGCAGGCACTGGACTGTTAATCCTAATCCTCTTATAGCCAATTAAAGCGAGGCAAAAAGAGACTACACAACTGATAGCAGTCTGGCGTGCCCAAGGGACGTAACAGCGGATTGCGCGCCTAAGACCACTGGGCCACCGTGTCCCGTGTTTATGGAAAGGTATGTTTTTTTTCTTCTGTTTTGTGGGTATAAAAGATGAGACATTTATGATGGGAGGATTAAACGATCTCATACTTAGGTATACCTGAAAGAAGAAACACGTATTTAGACAATGTCATGATAAGCAAATTAGCCTGTGAAAATTACTGCTTTTCCACTGATGCATGTTTGACCGAATATTACACTTGCTATGTGTTGGTAACCACAACATCTCATGAATACGTGCATTTCTTGTTGTAAAGTTAAACAGGACAGCACGTCATAATGTAGACACGAGTGTTTTGTACGCCCGAGAAGACGAAATATAGGATTAAGTTAGTGCGTGACTTTGGTTTAACCTGGCTTTGAACAGTTATTCAGTTATATAATTGCCTGTTAGCCAAATGTTGGTTGGTTGGTTGGTTGGTTTTGTGTTTTGGGGTTTTCATTCGACTAGCAAATATTTTCTGTGAAATGAGGAGTCAAGCAATTTATTTACAATTTAGTCGCAATCATGAGCAACGATCCGCGCAGTCGGGGTGCGATGGCACGCTATCGACTATGTCACCGAACCTGACCACCACTAAACTTCCTCTAAAGTCTAACCCGGAAACCCCACAGGGTATGAGTGTAAAGTATCAGATGTTTGTTTGTTTGTTTGTTTGTTGTTTAACGCCGCACTCAGCAATATTCCAGCTATATGACGGCGGCCTGTAAATACTCGAGTCTGGACAAGAAAATCCAGTTCTTGACATCATGAGCATCGATCCACGCAATTGGGAACAGCGAGGCTGGTGGATCAGATGTAACCGCCTTTAGTGTGTGTGTGTGTGTGTGTGTGTGTGTGTGTGTGTGTGTGTGTGTGTGTGTGTGTGTGTGTGTGTGTGTGTGTGTGTGTGTGTGTGTGTGTGTGTGTGTGTGTGTGTGTGTGATAGATGCAAGTCTGCTGTGAAATGCGGCGCATTAGACTGATCACGTGACGAAAAACAATCTTCATCCTGGTTGATAATATTGGTGACAGAATGTACCACTTTCGTTGTTTTTCTCCTGAAACATCAAAGCTTGTTGGGGATAGTGGTTCCTATTCCCAGGCGGAAGACATAACATTATTTAATGAAAACATATTTGTGTTTACGGGTGAATTTATTCAACACGACAAATACCACCGTTCAGCCGACACATTATCAAGGGAAGCAATCAAGAGATACCCAATAGGTGGAGGACCTTACGTATCACGTGACATGACTACGTCATACTGGAATTCCCTTTTTGCGCACCATATCAGAGTTATGACTATCACAACACCTTGATTGAATGTATCTCGCAAAATAAAGACTTATGGGTAGAAAAATTCCCGCGACGTTAACATTAATACAAGGCTTATTTACTAAAGCCGGTGATGTAGGTCCTAGGCGTTTATATTGTACCACTTTGGTGAAACACACGAGCACGGGTATGGTGCTGACAAACCTAGCTACGAACATAATCGGGGCCAACTGCAATCACAGGTTTCTGGCGTACCCAAGGGACGCAACCCATCCGAGATTTGTTCTGTAAGACCGCACTGTCTGTTCTAAGTTTTGTTCACAAAATAGACCAAAGTTTTGAATACCGGAAATTGTGGTCGCCGCGTTATAACAGAAGGAGAAAAATAGTTTTCTGGCAACCCTTTCACTCTTTGTGGCCTTATCAGTTATATAAATACTGTATGTAGCTAGTATGTCCTCATCGTGCAAAATCTATTTTTGAGGAATGCACATTGAGCGCGTTCTAAGATTTTACATGATGCATACAGTGATGTGTTCAACTGTATTTGTGTGACTGTTCAGCAATGTAAATTTAAAGAACTTTGTTAAAATATTGCATCATTCTAGTAAGATTGTACCTTTTGTTATCAAGTTACATAACTACATCTGTGTTCTGAAATGAATTCATGCTAGGAAGTGAACGTGTAATCTGAGGTACATGGGGCAATCATTTGAAATATAGGTATCATTCAGCCGCAGCATGTACTCATGTTAACATGGGTCTTGATTGGTTGGTTGGTTTGTTGTTTAACGCCGCACTCAGCAATATTCCAGCAATATGGTCTGTAAATAATCGAGTCTGGACCAGCCAATCCAGTGATTGACAGCATGAGCATCGATCCACGCATTTTGGATCGATGACATGTATCAACCAAGTCAGCGAGCCTGTCCACCCGATCCCGTTAGTCGCCTTTACGACAAGCATAGTCGCCTTTTATGGCAAGTATGGGTTGCCGAAGACCTATTCTACCCCGGAATCTTCACGGGTCACACGGGTTTTGAAATTAAAGAATATTGAAATAAAAGAATACTGAAGTCACTATGAATATATATTAGAGAGGTGTGTAAATATTTTCATGGTTGTCATGTATTTTCTAACGAGTGCAATAATCGTAAATGATGTATATATATAACACGGATCTTGATACCATTAAATCTAGTTTGACCGGGATTCGATTCATCCCAAGTTTCATACGCTCCTAACTTTTCGTTCATAGGTAAATGGAAGATAGCCATGTTTGTAACGTGGGGTGGATAGTGTGTAAAAACGAGCACGGCAGCTTGTGGGCGGGGCTTGTTGGCGGGGCTTGTTGGCGGGGCTTATCGGTCGGGACTGGATCGGTCTGTTGGTAACACAGGGCGAGAAGATACACAGTGCTGTGAACTGGCCATCACCACACGCACAAGGATGTGTGAATCACAGGGAGTGACACGAAAAAGCAATTTTCACAGTTCCCGATATTGCACATTACCCTTTAGCTAACCGATGATCTGCTACAACATATAACATCTGTATCATCAAAATCCTGACATAGTTAATGCTTTAAACAATCCGTTCTAATAAGTACCCTTTCAATGATAAATGCCTTAATATTAGATACATTTACAGACCCGTGAAGAACCAGGGTAGAATAGGTCTTCAGCAACCCATGCTTGACTTAAAAGATGACTATTCTTGTCATAAGAGGCGTCTAACGGGATCGGGTGGTCAGGTACGCTGACTTGGTTGATGCATGTCATCGTATCACAACAGTGTAGATCGATGCTCATGATGTCAATCACTGGATTGCCTGGTCCAGACTCGATTATTTACAGACCGCCGTCATGTAGCTGGGATATTTCTGAGTGCGGCGTTAAACAACAAAGAAAGAAACAAAATCATATGGGGAAACAGTTACGCAAATCCGGCCCTTGCGGTAGATTCGCGTTTGTTTTGAAGGTGTAAAATCCGGTTTTTGGTACTGTGGTACAACTGTCATATCTATACAATGTAAGGGGGAAGTTGCGCTTTTGTGCAGACGATCAGTATAAACATACGTGAGGACAGTACAGGTACCTAGTCTGAAAACACGACGTGAGAATACACACTGTGTTGTTACACTTGAATTTCGAAACGTTGTTTTGTATGTGCATACATTTGGAGTAATGGTAGTCCTGTTTGCCCTGAAGTTTAGCTTCTCACCTGGAAAACCAACAAAAGTTACACCCATGCATTAACACAAAACAATATGAATCCCGCCACACCCCCTTCTCCATTATACAAGTGTGACTCTGCAGTTTCTCCAACGAAAATAGGTAACATCTATGCCCCATGGACATCCAACGGACCGTGACACAAGGTGAAAAGGGCATTTCAGATGGTCCGATAAGCGACACAAAGCTGTCAATATTATCTCATTCTCAAGCCATTCTCATTCTCATACCTGCCAATTTTCCGAGGCAAGCGGGGATTTTAACGCCATTAGGACACGTCTTTCCCCTTCCATATCTTTGTGGGGGTTATTTTACAGCGCGTTAAAACATCTTTAATTGAGAGGCATAAAGACGAAATGTCCCGTGATGGTCATTACCGTTATCCGTATAATCGTCGACTGTCGACCATCAACTTGGAGACACTGTCTGTGGTCAGTTAATGTACGGCTTAGTGATACGGGTTCTTTAGGAAGGGCATTTTCAGCCTATATCTACAAGACAAATTACTTGTAATATGGCCTATTGTACTTGTGCAGCTTAAATCTACTGACTGCTTTCTGGATATAATTCTCTTTTGCATCATAGAGCGTTCTTAAATTGCTCTCTAACACGGGGACTATCTGTACAGGATAGGGTGACCTCTCATGTATAATTACAAAGCAACACGAGATTTAACTGGGAGGAGCATGTTATACCATTATAGTTTCCTTGTCAGTGCATACTTTACAAAAATTAAGGGTGAGTAAGCGAGTTGGGTTTCACGTCGTTTTGAACAGTATTCCAGTTTTATCACGACGTGTCAGCATCTTGTGGAAGGGAATGGAGGTCTCAGACTTTGTGAAACCCACGAACACGGGTATGGTGCTGAGAAACTTAGAAACATAATCAGGGCGAACCGAGGTTCCTAGTGCAAGCTCCTCACAGCGATAGTCCGCTAGCGGAGCTCTCTACAATATCGCTGCTACCAGTCAAAACTCCCCACTGTGATAGGTGGCCCCAACCATGCTTGGAGTTGAACTCGTAACCGAATGACCGTTATGTTTACAAACAAGTGACAACTGTCGTGACGCCGAATACACTTACCGCTGTTAAATTACTTTCTTTGTTTGTCAGTTTGAATTTCTATTCCATTAAAAGTACAATCTTTAATTG